CAGCCACAATTGCTTGCTCATTTTTAACTTGTCAAGTTGGCTTTATTTGTTTTATCACCAATGGAGCTCTGAATGCGCCAAAAGGCTAAGGCGGCTTGACAGCACAAATATGGCTAATACAAATTTGGATTGGGCAGCAAAAGGAGGTTTGAGGAAAAGTGTCTGCGGCGCATCAGCTTTTCAAAGAAGACTACAAAATAAAGCAAGTCTGAAAAAAAAACTGGTAAAAGGTGTTTGTTCAGCAAGCGAGGAGGATATAAAAGTAAATCTGAAGTATGAGCTCTCTTTGACAAAGAAATGGAAATAAATAATGTACAAAAAAAAAAAAGTGAGCCAAGGTTACCTCCCATCCCAGCACAGCAGGTGAGTGAGAGATAAACATTTGTGCAAAGTCGGCCGGGTCTAGTCAAGCGGCTGCTGCTCCTGGTTCATTTGCAGTTGCCAGCGATGTGTTAAATGGCCATCTGTGATGGGGTGAGAGCCCCTGTAATGACTTCCTGTCTGAGAAGGAAGACTGGCGTGCAGGGAGGGCTAAGACACACAATCCGTTTGAAGACATGAAAGGTGCAGTCGGGAAGCGGGAGAAAACAGTGGTGTTCACGCCTTGTTATTTGATAAATTGCCTGTTTGTGTGGCCTCTTTTGACATGAATCTTCAAAGTGAATCTCTAAAAGTTTAAAAGAGGAGATGCCGATGAAAGATATCTTTCTTCTCTGTCGCTGGACACCCAACAATATCTAGTACAGGTAATATGAGCTAAATTAAAGGAGATTTGTTCTCTTTGTTGGAAAAGCAGGGCATTTGTTACACTATTACAGCTTGTAAGACATGAATATTTGAAGAAACAGGGTCGCCATTTATTGCCTGCCATAAATTTGGTATTTTCATTTCATCTCCTTTTCGAGATAGGGGAGAAACTCAGACCCAAACACTAAGGTTGGTGGAAGTTTGGGCTCCACAAGAGACCTCTGCAGAGTTTACCGAGGACGAACATAAGAAGAGAGAAACGTCAGCGCTAACTGGAGAGGTGAGGTCCCAAGTTACCTGGTGGTAAGGGTTTGTAAACTGCAAACCGAGAGAGCTCCTGTTTGGTAACAACAGGACTTTAGGCCCTCTTGAATCAGATGATACCTGAGGCTCACATGTAGCCGCTGTACATGACGTATCCTCCACAGCTACTTCTTGTGCTGACCACTGCTAGGATGATAACATCATAAATTAATGATCATAATAACAATGGTCCAGTGTGTAGAACTGTGAATATTAAGCAGTATCTAGTATTGGATTAAAACGCTCCCTTGTTCACCACTCTCATTGGTGAGGCTACAGTAGCTCATTAGCTCACCCTCTCTCTTCCTCAGGCCAGTCCATTACGGACTACAGCGGGGTTACGCAGCTCAAGGAAGAACATTTATGATCATTACTTCATGGAAATGCGATCAGACCGAGACGCTAAGGCAGAAGAACTATCGCATCTGCAGTGCAAAATGATTATTATTAGGATTATTACTTCAAGTAAATTAAAGAGTAATGATCATAAATGTTCTTCCTTGAGCTGCGTCACCCCGCTGCAGTCGCTGGACTTGCCTGGAGGTCTCCGCACAAACAAGCGGCTGCTGGAAGAAAGAGGGTGAGTTGTGTTTAGTCTCTTTGCCAAAGAAATATGTACTATTTCTTTCACAAAGAGTACCTATATGTACTGTTGATGAAGTTAGGTGCTGTTCTGAACATGATTTGTGGCTATAGAGTGGCTTTTTGGTGGAGCACATGGCTCTCTGTATTGCAATCTGCGGTCGTTACTCAAGTCGGTATAACTAAAGAAGCAAGCGGTCAGCAACATTCATCTCTTGACGGGTTGTCTAAGTCGGTGTTACAGTGTGTTTGACCCGAACTTAATTTTACGCCCTTTAAGGTCAGCCCCCCAGTAAATACAAAAATGCATACAGCTGTAACTAGTTTGTCCATTCTGAGCTCCTGTAGAAACACAGTGGTACATGGAAGGCCACCCACTCCAATGTAGACATAAAGGTTTAAAGTCGACAAAAGTAAAATAACTTTCACATGCAGGTGATACACACTTAGTTGGACAAATATTATATTCTGTTTCAAACAAGTCTGTAGCAGCTAAAAATACTGCACACTGCACCTTTAACATGACCTGAGAAACACCGCTTATAAAGACAGCCGCACAAAACATCACTGCAGTGAATCATTTGCAGAAAATATCCTCATCCAAAACTGTTAAAGCCTGCAGAGGTTCATAAATAAAAAAAGAGTGAAGAGCTTTTCACATCTCACTATGACTATAGTTGCTAAACTGATTTCAACTGTTATGGAAGACACCAGCCATGCCCCAATTCTGGGTCTGCATCTTAGGAAAGGCGTATTTCCAGACCGGTTGCGTCACTTCGCCCCGTCGAAGGCTGTCGCGCTTCGAAGGGCTGGATGTCTACATCTGCTGTCGCTCTTTTGTGGTCGCAGCGACAATCCTATTTAAATTTAGATCATGAGTCACACCCTGATGGGCGTGAAAGATCTGGAGTGAAAGCTAAATTACTGCCACAGAACCTGAACACAGAAGTGCTGATGGTGCTGAAAGTAGAACACAAAAGTAGAGAGCTGTCAAGCTGTAAAATTACACAGCAAGCCGGGTGAAAGGATGATTACGTGCAATTATGCAGCAGCAAATGCCCTCTGAGGGGAGACCTTGTGCATATCAGAGCTTTACTGGGATGGACACACGAAAAACAAAATGTTGGAGCATCTGTTGTGTTTGTTCGTGAAGGGTACGACAACTCTCATACCAATATAATTACCACAAAGTTGTTTATGGAAGGAAAATTTACATTAAATAACATTTAAAGCTTTTTCAATCCTGCACAACCAGATCATTTCGACCAGGTGCTGGCGGAGTCAATATGTTTCACATGATCGAATTTAGTTGGCAGCAATTTGGAATGTTGGCGTGTGAATTCTCAACAAGATTACAGGGCAAAGACCAAACTCGACAAAAATGCTTTGAGACTCTCGCATAACTAATCAGGCTGCCAAATAATCGCCTCATCCCAGCCTCCTTTATCTGAACTAGACACCTGCTCTGTGATCAGGACAGCTACCCCTGATCACAGAGGGCCCCTCTCACCTCCTTTCATGCAGACACTACAAGTCCCACAGGCTTGGCAAAACATCAACAAGAAATACCTCACTCCCTCCACAATAACCCCCCTGAACAAGCTTAAAAAGACACTACATGGGCCCGCAGCGGGGTTGGTTTAGCACCCAGACTCTCCTAGTGCAGATTCATGCTGCTGTGATACATGCAGGGATGTAGTTTTACATTGTAGCGCTGAAATATGCAAGCTATTTCATGAAAAATACATCGTCAGGTTGGCAATATATGTTGCTAAAGAACCTGCATTTATTATTCAGCATTACTGGAGCATTTCCAGATGTGTAAGCTACCCAAACCATGAGCCCGTGTATATCCTTATACTATCAGGGATGCCAGCTTTTGAAATGCGCCCCATTAACAAGCCAGGTGTTCTTTCAATGGTGCATTTTTAACCTGTGTTTGTGGAGGTAATCTTTAGCCTATGCGGTGATTCACACTCCAGAGACATGTCTCTTTTAATCCACTGCAGCCTTGAATTTAGTAATACTTCATCTCCCTGGTGTTTTTTAAGCATTATGCAACATTGTCAGTGTTTATTATCCCCGTCCTAACAGTTTCAGATGTATTTTTGGCACCAAATTAATAATAAGCAAACAATCAACTTCAGTTTTTATCAACGTTTTACAGAGCGCTCCAACTGTTTTGAATATGGGTTTTTATTTCATAGTTTATAATAACTGAACAGAACTCTTTTATCATTCATACTGCCATTCCCCTCTTGACTGGCTGTGCTAAAAGTTACTTAAATGTGCTAAATGAAGCCTAATGGAAGCTGGCTGATGTGTACCCTGATGAATTTTACACTCAGAATTAAATTAACACCCATAATTTGGCTTTTTCCCGCATTCTCACATGGTCTTGATTTTAACAAAATAAGGTGAGTATGTCTTCACACACATCTGGCTGTGCAGTGGAGTGAGGAGGAGGAATCTTCTGCCTGCCTGATGCTGCCTTGAAGGAGCTTATTCCCCCGGAAAGAGGCAAAGTGAGGACAGGCGCTGGCCGGGAGCGCTTTTCACTCAGCCATGAAAACAGCATCGCTGTCCCCACTCCTCGGCTGTTTGGGAGTCAGCCACCAAATCAGACTACTAATGACACATGACCCTGGGACCAAACCCCTCTGGGCTGGTCAACAGCTCGCCTGTGTCATTTTAAGACCCCACTACCCACTATTACAGTGTCTATCTCTGCTGCCTTTTTCACTCATTCTCACACACATTCATAAACAATCCCTCGGAGCGCAGTGAAGCTGAGGTGCTCACCTGTCTGCCTCCGACTATTACAGCACTGTTCTGGGTAATGTGATGTTCTGGTAGTTTGCAGGAGGAATTTTAATGTCTTGCTGATGTATGTTCGACTATTTTTCAACATTTATACCCACAGTTGGTCTGAAAAGTACCCTGTGACTTAGCTTTTCTCATTTAAAGCACTAATCTTGACTTGACTTAAAAGGGCAATTAGGCAGCAACTGCTGTGGCTGAATTTTAAAAGCCGTGTGACATGGAGTAATTCCCTCTGATGCATTAAAGTCAATGGGGACTTCAGTCTGATCGAGGAAAGTCAAGTGTTTTCTGGGATGAAAAGAAATCCTGAACAGTTTTATGTCTCCGAACATGCATCCTTTAAATAACGTGTTCATGCACAATTTAAACTCCGGCTAATTTAAGAGGACTTGGGTTTCATTCTGTCTCTAAACAGGTGGCAAAGAGAGCCCTGAACAAATGAACAAACAACACAGGAGCGTATCAGGATCCCATATCAGTTGTATTCTTTATCTGTTTTCTTAGGTATGATTTCCAGCAGGGGTGTGTCCAAACTTTTTGGCTGGGGTGGCCCTGCCCGGGGTGGGGTTAGCTTTGTATGAGTGAATTACCCGTAAAATCAATATAAGGGCGTGATTAGATGTGAGCTCTTGTCAGACGACACAAACCAGGTATATTTAGCAGGTTTTTTCAAGCAAGCCACCTCCTATGGTGCACTGCCTTGAATTGAAGAGTCATTTGTCTGCATGCATGCAGTGAAGTGTCCTCTTGCAATACAAAATAAATGAGGGCTAATGTTCAAGGTTACTTTGTCAGGTCATGGGTAGAGGGTGATGGTGGCAGCCGTGATGGCACATGTCTAATGTTGGGTTCGAGTCAGATGTCAGAGATGAAAATGACGTCACACCCGAGTTACCAGCGGTTCGGTTACCAAGTCGGAAAAAACCCAAATCAGAAACAAGATGGCTACATCTACGAGAGTTGTTTTAGCGCTTGCATTTTCTTTGTTATATTCGGATATGGCAAGCACTAAAATTACTTTTGCAGATGTACCCATCGTGTTTCCACCTCCGATTTAACTTTTTCCCAATTTGGTAACTAAACGCTGGTAACTCGGGTGTGATGTCATTTCAGCTCTCGGGTGTGACATCTGACTTCCGAAGTAACTTGAACGCAGTATTAGATTAAGCTTTAGCTTTAAAATACTGTCACCACTCACTGCACTTTATAATAGCACACTGGTTGCATTGGAGTAGTGGATGCAGCTCACTTTTAAGGCGCTCACTTATGGGTGATTGTTGCAAAATAAGACCACATGATTTGTGCAAGCTCTGCAACCCTGGAACCAAATGCATTTGCACCCTTGACTTTTGTAGTTGAAGGTTAAAAAAAATGCTTTTGCTTAGAGTTGAATCTGGTGTTGATTAAAGTGCCTGTTAAGCAGTACACTTCGTTTGCATACTCAGCTACTAATCTTAGCTACAGTCGCGAAAACTAACCCCTCCTCGCTGACCAGCCCTGAATAGTATGCAAATAAACACAAAGCATTAAAAATGAATGAGAGTTATAAATGATGCACCGCTGAAACCTCAGAGCAACTGTTGTGGCTGTTTTGCATGGGGATGTTTCACCTGCCAGGTCACTCGGGGGCGCGTTAGTTGAGGAAAAACGCCAGCGAGCAAAAGCAGATGAGGAATGAATATATCGGCAGCTCGGCCAAAATACAGCAGCACCTTGTAAAAAATACCAGACTTGTAATTAATAACTTCACGCATATTTAACACCTTTTTTATTCATGAGCACCTGCTTCAATTGACCTGAGGGGTTCACAGAATCAACCTGCATTTCAAACATCTGCAGTCGAGAGACCAGGAGTTAAATATTTTGGTGCCATCTAAAAAAGCTTGACATAATTAGTTTTGACAGTGCCATTAGGTGGTCATTTATTCTCTCTGAAACATCTCCCGCTGAACAAAGCTCCCCTCTTTGTCGGCAGTCAAACACATTTTAATACTTTTAGTGTACAAGTCTCGTAAATACCTCAGTCCTTGAGCTTGGAAAGTGCAACCGCCTTCAATTTCTGCAAAGTAACCTGGATTTTTGATGAGGCAGATGGAAGAGAGAGGGTGACATCATGACCCTTTTTTGGGTTTAAATCATAATTCCTTCACCTGAAACTCTTCCCTCGGTCAAATCCTGCAGCAATTTAGATTCAGGAGAAGAAAACGGTTTTTCAGTGGACGAGAGTGCAAACCGAGAGTTCAAGTAAACTCGGGACCTTTGTTCCATGTAATCCCTCATCTTTTCTCAACAATTTTGTCTGTGCTTCTCTCTGGCTGTGCGGGGTCTTAAAAGGAAGACAAAAAAAAAAACAAAAAACACTTTTAACACAAGGCTGGATCACTTTGTAAAAACGACACTAAACCAAAGACTCCAGCTTGATTTTTTTTCTCTTAACCTTTCCCCACCAAACAAACTCATTTGCTCTTCTGTCAGTAAAAGAACCCCAGCTGCTCTCAACCAAAACCACTGCGCTAAATCATTAGAAATTAGCCGATTGCAAAAAAGAAGGTACATTTTATCAGCGCAAACATGTTTGACACTATGAAAGATAATTGAGATAAGGCTTAAAAGGAAGATTGGTTGGAGTGTCCCATTGTGCAGCTGATGGAGAGTCGGCTGATTACATTTGCAATCCCTGAGGGAAGATTTCGGAAATCATCACTTGAATGTGGAGTACAAAGTCAAGTGATGATTGATTGCACGTTGTCTAAAGGAGTTGTGCGGCATTGTGATGAAACTTGATCAACTCAACACTTACTCAACGGCAGGATCAAGGAGATAGTAGATTGTTAGTCCCTCTTTTTTCCTGAATAGCTCTTGGTATTTATACTTTGACATTGAGTTGACTCAGATCGAGGATCTATCACTGGATTGGCCGTAAACTCAAAAAAATCTCCAAACCGAACCATTAAGTTTGGTTTTAGTCCATCATCTACTAAACATTTCTCCTAGATCTCCTATGAATCAGCCTGGAGATAACGAGTGAAATATCCTGACACCTTCTCCTTGACTGTCCTCCAGTGGCATCGGCGACAAACACGATTGGTGAGCCTAGATAAGCCGAATGAAACTCTATTTGTTCTTTTCCGAGTAAAGAATAGAAAACAGTATTTACAGCTCTCTGTTCTTGGTATTATAGATGATTATAGACACAAGAGAGCTGTGATGCATCAATTGCGTCATAATAGGGATGTTTGAACCTCAGAGATCCTCTATAGAGGGATGCTTCTTCTACACTGCAAAGATAACAGGTAAGAGTACGACTACAAAATCTGATACGGATTTTTCTAAGTGCGAGGTTGACTGTCCAGCAGTTCGGGAAACCCTCTCTGGATGCCACTTTGAGAAACATTTTCCATGAATCTCAGGTGAGAGGAAGAGAAGAGGGGGAGTAGTTACGGCATACGGATAATAGCCCGGAGATCCACTACTGAACGGTTATGGAAAAGACAATTTGCAGCGGTAATTTGGATGTTGTCGTAAAAAAAAAAAAAAAATGTCAATAGCGTTTGCAGTATTTTTTCTCTAACTGAGCGCGCTTTGAAAGCTAATTTGTTGCAGTGGCTCGGATGAAAACACAGAGGTATTTCCCACTGTTATTTCCTCTGTCTCTTTGTAATATCATGGCATTAGATAATAAGAAGCAACAAGAAGTACTCAAAATAATTGGGCCACACATCGCCATAGCTATATTAAACTGCATCAAGACTAAGAAATGTACAAACTTAAGCTGACAAAATTACCGTGGTTCCTATACAAATCAGCATGGGTATCAAAAGATCAAGGTCTTTTAAGGACAAAAACGCCTGAGAGATGTCTATATATATATATGGGACACAATAGCAAAATCACCAAGTAACATCACTGAGAATTTGCACAGTGTGAAGCCTTCATGTCAGCCTCTCACCAGAGCTGCCTCCCACTGATCGTCTTGAACCATAAATAGCGTTTTAAAATTATTTAATATTCACTCTGCGCAGCGCCATGGCAACAGCTGTTTCCACTGTGGTTTTAACATTGCTCCTCCACTCGAGTCCATAGCCTGGCTCCAGTGATGGAGACACTGGATGTGGGAGTTGAACGCAGCTTGGGCTCCATCTAGCGGCGTAAAGAAGTAACTGACTGCTCGATTAATCCCATTGTCTACCAGAGACTCCACACACTCAACAGTCTATAGATCAAGTTTGCGATATTCTTGTAGAGGATTCAACGATCTCCTTTTGGAGTAAACAAATGTGGGTACTGGAATAAAAATGTAAACACAGGACACTCTAGAAAATGTGACCACACCTTTAGCAAGTAAACAGTAACAACTTTATTGAGATTTAGGGTCTATTTTATCAAAAATTTTCAAGTTTTCAGGACAAACAGATACAGTGCAATCAGCGACAGACAATTCTCTATAAAGACGTACAACACATAAAAAAATACAACTACAGTCAGAGACGACAGAGGCCAGAGTTTCAAGTATTGTGAGCTGTAACAAGGACATATGTGCAGACGCAACCTCTTAAAGCAACAATAAGGCCATTTCTCACAGGCATATCCCAACGCTCAATTTCAACGATTTAAAAATAGTAGTTTCATTTTTATCTCCAGCACCAAGGTAACAAAATAGGAGTGTATGTTCCTCTAAAATGAGGAGTCTTTCCTTACTAAGCGGCACCATGAAACAAATACGAGCCCTCATGAGCAGTACCTTCTGGCACATTAAGGTGGATTTCCTCGTCTTTCAAAAGCTGCATCATCTCAAACTTCTTGTTTTCAGTTTCTACCCTGCTCTTTGGAAAACCCACTCCCATATCCCTCCAAACTTGCACCATTGTGCTGAACACTTTTGGCTTTCAACCATGTAGAAATCATTTGGGTAATCCATGTAGCGCTGCGATACAGCAGAAATACTTTTCTTGTGTTATTTTGTGTCCATGGAGGAGTCATCAGCACATGCCGTAATCCTCTGCAGCTCCTGGATGCAGGGCACGATTGTCTGGCTGTGAAACTGAGCCATCTTCAACCTGGAGACAGAAACAAAAGAGTCATCTGTTAGGACAGGTTTCACCAGAATAACCTTGTAAACTATGTGGGATTTTCTGGGGCAGCAGCTACATGTGTCGCCCCAAAAAGAGATCAACCACCACCAGATGTTTTAAGATTATTAACTTGATTGAGAGGTACTTTTCAATGTTTTAAATAACAACTGAATATACTACGCTAACACCACAGTGAACTCAAGTAAAACACCCAGGACATTTCCAGTGACACCAAGTGACCCAGGACAAGAAGGTGGGAGAACTTACATTCAACCAAAGGGCAGACAGGACTATGGTAGGATTCCGGGGCTGCACGGGATATCTAAGCTGGCAATCTGACGCTTCAATGTCAGTTAAGACAAATTATAAACGGACAGTCTATCATGACTATCCCTGCGACCTGCTGCACCCAAAGTGAGAGGCCCCTGGTGATAGAATGGTTGGCTGCTGTTTCCAAACATGCCGAGTTATGAAACTTGATCGTCATTTCACTGCAAGTTGCTTGTGTTATGTTTGGGGATGTAATGATTACCGGTAAAATGATAAACCGCGGTAACTGTCTGATGGTTAGTACTACCATTTCAAATTTTAATTACCGTTAAAACCGTGTTTGATTGCCGCACTCTGGAAAAGCTCACAGTGATACTGCTCAGTGCTGAGAAGAGCGGCGGCACAAAGCAGGCCTTCGGACACAGGTGCACCAGGCGCATGTATGCAACTTGTAAAGACGGCGGCGGGCAGTTCTGCCGACCATGTTGCAGATTTTTCTGCTGTCAAAGAAAACAAAGTCTGAAGTCTGGGTTTATTTCGGCTTCTACAAAAGGGTTGCGAGGATTGCCAGGAAACTTTTGTGCATCCCAGCAACCAGGGTGCCATCAGAGGGACTATTCAGTGCCAGCGGACACATCGTTTCCCCTCATAGATCACGACTGTAACCAGGAAAGTAAATATGCTGACATTTTTACTTTTCAATCTGAAGTAGTGAACAAAGTCAGCAGCAGAAGAAAAGGGACAATCAGTGTGGTTCATTTGATTGGTTTACATATTTTATGTTATTTCAAACACCTGAACTACACATTTGTTTACATGTGGTTGTATTGTTTCATATAGTCGTGTTGCTCGGTTTTATATTTGTAAGAGTAGATCTTTTTGAGCACTGAAGATTCTTACAATTTGCACAATAAGGAATGTCATTTTATTTAGATTTTATTTATTTGTTATGATGTTAATGTTTATGCCTCTGGCACATTACTTTGTACTTTATTACTAGTACTAGTGTTGATTACCTCTAGCTCATTAAAGGCCCCATCTTTAATCTTTTAAGCTTATCGTTCCTCTGTTATTAAAGGTTAAGGAAAAGTTCATTCTGTGTGTTATTTTGATTGTTTTTTCAACATAAAACTTTGTTAAATGATTTCAGGGCTTGTATAAGTACTTTTTAAACATTTTGAACATATTTCAACGATACCGTGAAAATATTGATAATCGTGATGTTCCTATTTATGATGCATCTGTTTCACCCCATGAAAATCAAAAAAGTGATCGGGCTAAAAGTGTTTGTTTTCATTGTTATTTCAACACTTACTCAAATCCAATATTTCTCAATCCGACCATTAGTCCTCCTTATGCCTTTTTTTAAAAACCAACTTTCCTTTACAGAAAGTGAAATTTGATTACACTCCCTCTCATTCTTTTACCAAACAAAAGAGAGGTGTATTTCTTCTGCTCTTGGTGAGTAAACCTCACATCCTGACAGCTTTCAGGTCCAGCTGTTTTCTCAGAGCCACTCCCCGTCGATAAATGTGGCATATGGTGTTTAAAAACTCTCTATGAAAAGTGTTTACAAAGTTTATCATCAAAGAGATAAATGTTGCATGAAATTTGGGACTTTTTACTGTCAATACCGCTGACCCAGAGAGCCTTCATAGCCAGGCGCTGAGTGGGAGGTAGAAGCGACCTGCTAAGGTGGAAAGTACCTCCAAAGTCACCTGAGTTGACCTTTCCTGTTTATGAACCTGGTTATTACTCAGCCTCCAGTGAGCATCTTATGGCTGTCACAAAATCAAAAGCAACAATAAAGGAGTTTATGGTGCACCGTTTGGTTCACTCGGAGTATCCAGATGCCTGCGTGAAGGAATGGCACATTCTATTTCTTTTTGTCTGAGCAAAACCAACCGTTTTTTTTGTTGTTGAGCAACTGAAATGAGGTGTTAAGGCAGTAATATCCTTGCTGAGTATTGCGGTAATCTGATTAAAATGGGTAAACACTCAGCAGCCGCTAAAGCGCTTGTACTGGAGTGTAGTTTAGCGACAGTGTTTCTTACATTCTGTATCGGGACCAAGAATCAAGCACGCCTCCTTAACAGCGAAATCTGTAAATCAAACCTGTGTCGTACCTTCTGAGCAGCTCCCGTCCTCTGTTAGGTTCGGGCTGGTAGTGCTGGAGTGCAGTGAGGCTGTGCGCTGCCAGGATGCTGTAACACTGCTCTCGGAGAGCGTTGTGGTTCGCCGTATCCCACTGCGGCAACTCGCTGGTGTAGCGCCACGCCATCAGCGTGTGCTCCAACACAGCGTCCCACTCTTTGTTCCTCAGGAGGACTTGGCCCCACTCCTGACAAGAGACCTGGGAGGGAGGTTAAGGAGGGAACAGATTAGGACAGCGCAATCAAACACTCAGTTTAAGACAAAAAATCCTGTGATAAGAATATTTTCAACAGCAGGGAGAAGAGCAGAGGGTCAACATCTGTATTTTTAAAGAACTAGGACAAACATTCACATGTTCACGCAAGTAAAAAGTAGGTAGGATTACAGCAGTGGTTTTTGCATGTTTTGGATGTTTCCCTGCTCCAACACACCTGATTCAAATGATTAGCTCGTTAGTAAGCCATTACAGAGCTTGATAACGAGCTGATCATTTGAATCAGGTGTGTTGGAGCAGGGAAACATCCATAACATGCAGGACAGTGGGCCTCAAGGACCGAACTTGAGAACCACTGGATTACAGGAACCCATCGATACTCACTTTGAATGCCACCAGATGAGGATAAGCCTTCCTATAGCAGTGAGCGTCCCTGTTTGAGCCGAATCGGGAGTAGGGTATTGACCTGAATATATTTGTTTTCTTCAGCTGCAGGTCTTCCTGGAGGTACTTCAGGTCTGCAGCCAGAATCCTCGGTTCTTGACTCTTTAACACAAGGAGACATCACATCTTCAATTCATGGGACATTTTCTTTAGTATGTTTTCCATAAAGTTTCACTGGAAAGGCTTTGGATTTTGGGTGTTCGGTGCGTTATTAATGGGCCAACAGTCAAGCTTTATGAAAAGACACAAATATATGCATTTAATTATATTTTTTCTTGAGCTGTATGGGCAGTATGACGGTATGAAAGTGTCTACCGGTAGAAATTTTGCTATACCGTTTATACCGGAGAGAGAGAGAGCAGTGTAGGTGTTTGGGTGCATTTCCATATATTCACCAGTGTGTCCAGCAGACTGCTTGGCATAGTTTAGACGAAGAAGAAACAGCTTCACTGGCGATGGTCATGGCGGAGATTAGTGAGGGTACTGAGCAATAATCGTTCCGAAAAAGGACGCAAGTCGCGATATCAGTTGTCTGGAGATTATTCGGATTTAGAAAATCCAATAACCAAAAAACAATACAATGCAAAGAGTTGTAGCAGCTCCTCTTATACAAAAGAGCTTGGCAGAGTCTTTCAGGTACGCCATATGATAAAAAAATCGCCAGACTGGTCTGACATTTTGTTTACAAATTCGAGTTTAAAAGTAAAAAGGAAATTAACAAATGCGACAGTATGGTTATCTTTAAGTTTTAACACCCCTATTACAACCTTTGTAGCAAAGTCTTGCACATCTAATCCTCCCCAAGAAGTTGCAGCAGGGGCATAATCAGGGAAAACAAAGTGTCAATGAGTTGATTTCTACCAAGAGGTCTGGCTCGGTACAGTTTGGTCTAGAATCTTAAGTGTTTGTCCTAATTTTGGAAATGTATCCTAATAACCAATCTGTACTTTTTTGCACTTTTTGTACTTTTTTAAGTCCTAAAAGTACGAATCTGTCCCCAACATTATCTTATTCGGTCAGTTATTCATAATTGTGTTATTTTTTTCCACGCCAGAAAATACATTTGGGTGTTGGGTTAGGAGTTAGTCTACACAACAAATTCGTTTTAGAGCTTTGGATAAACTCAAGTGCCCACATAATCTTAAAACTGGCACAAAAAAGAAAATTAGTTCCCATTTAACACCTTTAATTGGAAACACAACACGAGGACAGTTCAAAGTTGATGTCAAACCACATGTTACTCATCTCGTGATGTTAATACCTGTTCAACCAAGATGAGGGACCTGATAAGTTGTACAAGCTGCTGTTTGGAAAGAGGTGTGGGTTGCTCATCCATCTTCTCACACTGATCCTCAAGCCTCCCACTCCACACCCCACCGATAGACAAGTCCACTGCAAGATAGTGAGAACATAAGTCAGTGACACAATGTATAAACACTTTGTCATGGAAGAAATGTAGGATTTAAATGAGTATTATACCATAAAGTCAGGAAAACATAGACGTTGCTTTCATAGACGTTGTGTTTTCTATAACATCTACTTCACACTAACTCAGTGGGCAGAATAAAACACTGATTCATGTTGTACTCACATGATTGTGCACGCCTTGTGTTCGTCGTCGTGTGTCTTCCTCTTGGAAGTGGAGATGGTGCCAAACGAGCACTTAAAATCTCCAGGTAGGACCTCCTCATTCGAGCTGCTCAATAAGAAAAAGTCAAATTAGTCAAAACAGTCAACTAGTTAGGTCCCTTCAGCTTATGTTGGTATTTTCTTGTCGTTTACGCCAACTTTAAGGACGATTTTAACGCCTTACGTGAGCTGAAACAGTTGACCGTCGGTACAAACATTAACCGACACCAACTGCCTGTTGATCCTGGGGTCGCGCGCCTCTAAGCATAATAGCAAAGAGGCGCCTCGCGCACAAAGACGCCGCAAACACCAATTTTGCCCCCTCAAATAATGAAAATCTGACCTATATTACACTTACCTGCTATTTTAGGCTGTGGAGCAGGTATTTCCACTAAGGCACGTCGCTGCTGGCACAAGGCTGCCATTGTGACAAACTTTATAGCAGAGCTCCGGAGCTAATGCTGCTGCTAGCAGAACTTTAAAGCCCAGGGTCCCCCGACAATAACCTGGCCACGGGAGGAGTTAGTTAAAGCCGGTGAACTCAGCATTCAGCGTTTCTTATTCACATATGAAGACAAATAAGCATGTCACCAGCCTCCGCAAACGCACAAAGCCGCCTACATTCAACTAAAACTACAGAAAAATCGACTTATTAGTGTTGTTAACGCGGCGTTGGGGACATTAACTGTCTTTGCCTGCAGCACCGCCACTACAATGCTGAGTGATAGTAAAGCGCGCGACACGAGTTGCCGCGCGGGCGTGGTTTGCCTCATGAGCTGTCCTGATTGGTCAACGTCGCAGTGAAAGAGGCGCCGAATATGTAAATTGAGAGGCTGCTGCTCGCGTGCTTGTCGCCAAAGACATATGTAGGAAAGGCAAGATGAATCAAGGTGAAGTCACCGGCGTCCGTACGCGGCGGCCATCTTACTTCAGTATACCATTCTGGTACATTGGCTGTGTCCGAAATGGATCCCTAACCCCTATATAGGTGACTATATAGGGGTTAGCGCAATTTTGAGGGGTGTCCGAAACCTGAGTGAACAATTCCAATGCCCCATACAGGCAACTCAAAATTTCCCATAAAGTACTGCAAAATGTAGGGACCATCCGATGGTCACTCACCGGTGGTGGGCATCAAGTCATGCATTGCATCATGCCATGCAGTGTCCGAAACCTCCAGTGATTGAGTTCACTACATAGTCAACTGTATAGTGAAATCCCATATGGGGGTTAGGGGTTAGGGATTGAGTGATTCATTTCAGACATAGCCATTGTATGGTAGCTGATGGAAGGTGAGTAATTTGCATGATCAAAAATACTCTTAACTCGCTGAAATCTTGACAGATTTACAAATGGTTTCATTTATCACATACCTTTATAACATGACTATGAGTCTGGCGGCTTGGACATATTGAAATGGCAAATTTTCTTTGAGAAAAAAAACGTAATCCTGCAGCACGGTTGTTTCACTGCATTTGCGCGCGCAATGGCTAACTTTGAGTCGCTTTACGCGAGTTATCAAGGCTGAGACCACAATCGAGATTTTAGATTTTTTGTACGACAACATTTTTTTAATGTGTGTGTTAGTGATGGTCTTTGTGGATGTGCTTATGTTTTTCAGCTGTCTCACTTGGCTAACAGACTCGCTGTGAATGAGACCAAGTATGTAATTACAAAGTTTACCCAGCAATTTTACATCAGTTGAAGGAGCAGAAATGCTCTTTCGATTCAACATAACTTAAGTTGCACATGATTTCCAAGCTGTTTGGTTTGTTAAAAATATCTAAAATGGCAAAACACGAGGCAGAACTTCATATTGAAAATAAATATTCATATAGTTTGTTGTTATATGTTATTAAAGTTATCCCTATAATAGAAATATTACTAATATAACATACATGGGATGATTAAATGCTTCATATATAGATGATTTAATATAACTACCTCGTGTGTAGGTCTATAGCTTTTGCGCTACCTATCTGCTTAATATTTATTTATGTAAACCCATAGTTAAAATTATTCTTGAGTATGCATGAACATAACTAAAACTCTGAGGTTTGTTACAAACCAAACCGTTCCAAATCGGTTTTAAATTAAGCAATCTATGGTTATTTAAATGCTACATGCACCGTAGACTGTAATGTTATGAGAGAGCGATCTGCCTGAAGCAAGATGGCTGCCATGCTCGGACGTCGGTCTCCATTGGCGTTTATATATATATCTATGCTTGTCGCTACCTGACCCGCCCCGGAAACCCGATTTGGACTACGCTTGTGCGAAAGGTACGTCACTTCCTCTACTAACCATCTCTCCATCAAATCCTTAAAAGCACCTGTTCACATACAAATGTGAGTAGACAAACAAACTCACTCATCATCTTGTTCTAATCTCTTTTGATATTTTGGAGCTGTAATTCTGCCACAAGAAATTTTCAGTGGCTGAGGTTGCCTTTTTAAACTTTATGTTAACTCAATGGAAAACACCCCATGAGTTTAGTCTGTGGGGAAAAAAAGCTTCATGAATAAACTCTTGTTAACAAGTGTACACCGTTTGTTCCACCCACAATATTTCATAGATATTCAACATTACTGACCCAAGAGTGTACTGGAATTTAAAAAAAAGGAGAGAGTTGTCTGTTAAAGTTGTTTAATTTTCTCTCTTGCAGATCTGTGGTCATGATGGACGTCACGACGGAAGAAGAAGGACAGAGCGGTCATCTTCCCTGAGCTGAAGCTCTCAGGTAAGAGGATCTTCTTTGTATCACAGCTGCAGTTTCATATTTTGGCACTAAGATTTAACAGCTGAGAGTTAAGCTGTTTTTGAGGCTCCTTTGGTTCTAGTTTAACTGTGGAGACAATTATCTGACACTGTTACTCACAGAAACCTCTCTGCAGCCTCAATAGTGTCACAATGAAGGTTTCAACATGATCTAAAGGAGCCAAGACTCCATGCCTATGTTTATTAATAATAAATAAATTCCCTTTAGCTCCACCAGGCTGAAAAAAAGCTGTTTGATTGTATTAAAGATGTATTTAGCACAGATTAACAGACACTAAAGTGACATTACTCTGTATTTCAACACAGTTAAATAGTGGAGAGAAGCTGAAAAACAGAAAGCAGGTCTCAAATGGCAGATTTATCAATGAAGTAATGCAAACAAAAATACTAGAAACAAAATTGCTAAACTTGAATTAACTTTATTTAAATAATACAGACTAGACTAACCTTGGTACAGTAAAATATTACGACAAGAAACTTTTTATTCACATGTGTGGAGAGCACTGCCACTCCCATCCACTGGGCGGCAGCGTTGCTCCCTCTGTTGAGAGCATATACTGTGAAGAAGATGATTGACAGCTATCCACCTGAACCCATTGAAACCGGCAGAAGCGTGTACGCATTTTAACCTTCCAAGCCAGTGGCGCGGCTGCGCATTTCTATCCTTTAAGCTATGAGCGCAGATACGTCATTTAGCAACATTCTGTAGTTTTTCAATCATTTCTGGAGTCATGGCGAATCAAATCATCATACCAGTCTACCTCTGATAAGCTATTAAAGCTTAAGCGCTTGGATTCATGCTCGGATCTTCCTACGTGCCTCGTGAGGAAAGGAAACAATTACAGAGGCGGAGAGCAGCTTCGGAGGAGAAGCATCGGGCAGTGTGAACAACCTCTTCATAGTGAGGTCTTTGGCTCACATTATCGGTGATTTCTGTGAGTGTTGCATGACTTTGGGTGAGCACAGAGATGAACACACTGTCAGAAACTTATTTATCTATTTATTAGTTTTTGGTGCTGCTTTTGTACTAACACTATACTGGGGCAGCTACATACCCTTTCAACATTTAATTTTTTATATTTACATTTGTATTGAATGGACACTTTATCATGACTGCCTCTTGTTTTACAGAAAGCAAATAGTTTGTTTTTCTCCAGTGCAATCCTTACTTTTATTTATACAGCCACTTTATTTCATTTGAGTTCGTTTGTTCGAGGTTTTTGATAATGTGATGAAGGTTCGGAAAAATAAAAGATAGGTATCTTGAAAGCCACATGTATAAGCTCTCAAATACTTTTTAAATTTTGTTTCTATCTGCTACAGAGGCTGACATATCAGCTTTTTTGTAAACCTCAACACTCAACAAGAAAACCTCAGGATCTGGGGGCCCTTCTCAAAATGGCCCTCAGGATTTCAGAGGTGGGTCTCAGACAGGGTTCAGGTCTTAATGGGTTAAAAGTGGGGAAAAGTTTCTCTGCCTCTGTAGTGGATAGCTGTCAATCATCCTCACAGTCTATGCCCTTACCAGAGAGACAGAGAGCTCTTTACACAAATGTGGTCAAGTTTTTTCTGTCATGACTCTAAAATTACCATTTTGCTAGAACTGCCACATTTTTATATCATATATCAAACAAGTAGTCTTAAAGTTGAAAATGAGTAACATTACGCTAGCAATAATAAGAATTTTTTTATCTTTAAATCATTAATTCTAGCCATAAACTGCAGTGGTTTCTAAAAAAAAAAAAAAAAAAAACCTAATCAAATAGAACTGTCCACCAGAGGGCGCTGTTTCTAGCTAAAACTGCCCTGCTGTAAATAATGACTGTATTATTCCACTTAATTTAAAATAAAAGAATCATCTACCAACACATGTCATGAGTCTTTATCAATATATTTATGGATAATTCAATAAATTAGTATGCCTTTGTATCTGACAGAAACATACTCGTAGTAGAAAATTGTGACATGTTGTTCTTGAAGCAGATCGAGGACTTTCAGTCCAGTGACTGACGGAAGTGTAATGCATATTAAGACTATTGCACTAAATCATGAAAGAATCACATTAAACACTGGAGTTAAAAGTCCCATGTTTAATTGATGTAATAGACACAAGAACAATAACACCCAACACGGCGAAAGGTTTACTTATTCATTTCTTCATAGATATTTGAGACCTACATCAGCTGCTCTGACAGTCATGAAAAAATAAGTGCAATCAGGTCTTAAGCACAAATTCAGTAAAACTTTTTACTTAAATTTGTTTTTACTGTTTCAAGACATCACGGTTAAAAACAACTCCTTGATCAGTAAAGAAGCCTGAGAGTTTCTCTGAGCTCTCACCACGGTCCAGTTTGACATCCTCAGCACAGATTTTTGTCTTTTGTTGGGTTAAATGTGACAAACTAATTGTGTCTTTTCTTTTCTTTCAGGACCAACTGTGGTTTTTTCCTCTTGTGAATTGTTTTTCTTTGTTCATACTTAGCATTTTTGGGGGAGTCTAAGTATGTGGATTATTTAGTTGGAGTATAGTTTAGTTAAGTTAGGTACAGGCAGTGAAGGTAGGAGTTTTATTTGATTTCTTTGATATAAGAGAGATCTTGAGCTCCCCTTTTAGGTACTTGCTACACTCTCTGATAGGTGGGTTGGAGATTGAGCTGCCTATAAAAGGAGAGGAGAATTGCTCCCAAAGAAGAAAGATGTGCCCTTGTATAATCTCATTTCAGACTCATTTTGTTTGATCTTGGGAAAAGTTTGTAGTTTTTAATGGAACCTTTATATGTGGACTTGACTGTAAATAAAAACATATTCACTTCTGAGAATACAGCAGTCTGTTGAGTTGCCTTCCCTACCACCTTCCTAGGCTCTTGAGCCAAAACTACTTTACAAAGACCCTGAAGAACTGAGCCAACAACATAATCACCAGAGGGGGGGACCCACAAGTTTATTTAAAAAAATAAAAACTGTGACTATGTGTCTCTTTATTTTAATCAGATCCAAGTCTAGTTGAAAGGAGAGTGAAAGAGAAAACAAACAGAATAGTCCAGGTCTAGGTGAATTTTGAAGTCCAGGAGCCAAAGTGCCAAGATAAAAGGGCGCGCAGTTCATACCCAAGTGTGGATCGTATCTTGTAGCATGTGTGTTAGTCAATTGGCTCTCAATGTGTGGACCCCGGTTCGATTCCAGCTAGTGACGGGGTAGTTCAAAGTAATGAAATGATGAAAATTTCCTTCTATACCGTAATCGGTATAGACTCCTGAAGAAGTGATGGTTCACTTCTAATGATGGCTAATTCTGATCGTTACTAATACTCTCCAGCCACGAGTTGGTATCAAACCAGGCCCCATTGGGTGCCAATAGACTTCCATGCAGTGCCATTAGATAGGATCCACACTAGGGCATGCGGAATGCCCACTTTTATCTTTGGCTAATGGACTTTAAAAATTCAAGTAGATGTGGGTAAGGTGAGAATCGAACCCACGACCTCAAGAGTCTCAGTCAGTGTTCTTACCCTCTGAACTATGCAGGCACACAGAGTAATTCCGGGTTTTTCCTATTTAACTCTTCTTTCTAGACACGTCTTTAAATTTTAACTAGATTTGGATAAGGTAGGGCTCGAACCCACAACCTCAGGAGTGCCAGTCAGTCTTCTTAACCTCTGAGCCATGTGGACACACAGGAAATTTCCAGGTTTTTCCTATTCAACTCTTCTTTCTAGACACTAGGCTTTAAATTTCACCTCGAGCTGGATAAGGCAAGGATCGAACCCACGACCTCAAGAGTCTCAGTCGGTCTTCTTACCCACTGAGCCATGTGGACACAGGAAATTTCCAGGTTTTTCTTATTTAAGTCTTCTTTCTAGACACTAGGCTTTAAATTTCACCTCGAGCTGGATAAGGCAAGGATCGAACCCACGACCTCAAGAGTCTCAGTCGGTCTTCTTACCCACTGAGCCATGTGAACACAAAGGGTAACTCCAGGTTTTTCCTATTTAACTCTTCTTTCTAGACACGTCTTTAAATTTTAACTAGATTTGGATAAGGTAGGGCTCGAACCCACAACCTCAGGAGTGCCAGTCAGTCTTCTTAACCTCTGAGCCATGTGGACACATAGGATAATTCCGTTTTTTTCCTATATTGCTTTCCTTTACAGACACTAAACTTTAAATTTTAGCTCAAGCTGGATGAGGCGAGGATCGAACCCACAACTTCAGGACCACTAGTCAGCCTTCTTATCCTGTGAGCTATGGAGACACACAGGCTTATCTCGATCAAGGTGAAATTTAAAGTCTAGTGTCTAGAAAGGAGAGTGAAATAGGAAACAAACAGGACCCTTCTCTGTGTCAATGTGGCTCAGAGGATAACAAGACTGACTGGCACTCCTGAGGTCGTGGGTTCAATCCTTATCCATGTCTAGGTGAAGTCTAGTGTCCAGAAAGGAGAATGAAATCGAATAAAACCGGAATTCTTTTGTGTGTCCACATGGCTCAGAGGAAAAGTAAACAATAAACATAAGCACAGAGTCTTGAGTCCTTTAGATCACGTCGAAACCTCCATTGTGATTCTATTAAGGCTGCAGAGAGGTTTCTGTGAGTCACGGTGTCAAATAATTTTCTCTATAGTTAAACTAAAGGAACCTAAAAATTAGCTCAACTCTCAGCTTTTAAATCTCGGCACTGAAACATGAAACTGCAGCTGTGATACAAAGAAAATCCTCTTACCTGAGAGCTTCAGCTCAGGGAAGATGACTGCTCTGTCCTTCTTCCAGCGTGACGTCCATCATGCTCACAGTGACAGTGCTCTTTCTCCCCAACGATTGATGAGTGTCACGTGATCACACACTGCGAATACAGTGTGGCTTTTAAATGCATATTTAGCGTTAACTTCATTGTTTCGATGAACACATTTTCATTTGTTAAAATTTTACTTGGCGCTTTTAAATTAGTCTATGTAATTTTATATATATCAAGACACGAGAATAATAGAAGCTTTGAAGATGCACTGGCATTTTTAAAAACAAATGGTATAAATGGATATTGATAGGTAAGTTCATATTAAGGTATAATCACCTGCATGTGATTTTTTTAAAACTTAGAATGAACCATAAGACCCCTTTCAACAGTTTAGTTGAGGATTTTTAGAATTTAAATCCACGATAGCACTGAAACTGCACAACTTTGGGTGACTAATGGTCTACTGATCGCCGCGGACTGTGGTCTTCTCTTTGTACTTGTTTTGTTGGATCAGGGTGCTGCTTTCCATACAATTTTCCATCACATTCTGTTACAATGGCTTGACTAACATATAAGTACAACTGGAATTACTTACCAAGGTCAGTTACGAGGTTCCGCAGGGTTCAGTGCAAAGACCAATAAGCTGAGCACCTTTTCCTCCTCCTCCACACTCTTTCTGTCTGTATCATTAACTTTAAAAGATCATATTCCATAAGAGTCACTAAGCAGTCTTGTCCAGGAGTTCATGTGGTCTGGATTGCTGCTGCAAACATTTTGCTGCTTTAGCTACATGCAACAGTCTCACCTCTGTCTCTCTCTGTGTTTCTGCAACCCCCTTCTATCCCATCTCTAAATCCTATGCAGATCGGCAGATGACTGTCTAACGTGTCTGATTCTGTGCAAGGTTTCTGCCTGTCAAATGATGTTTCTCCTCTGCACTCTAACTTGCTAGGTGCTACACTCGTGATTGAAGATGGGATAGAAGTGGGTCTGATTCGACTGGATGGGGTTTAATCTTTACATTGGGTCTTTGTAAACGGAGTTTGTTTCTGTTTTTTAAATTAGTTTTTAAAAAACATTGAAGCTATGTTTTACTTTTAATTCTGCTTTTATTTTATCCATTGTTTTAATTGTTTCTTGATTGTTTTTTATCTTGTTGTTTTGTCTAGTTATGTACAGCACTTTGTTCAGCTGTGGTTGTTTTAAAGTACTCTACAAATAAAGTTGAGTTGAGTTGAGTTGAGAGTATTGTCTAAACCACCTTTACAGTCAGAGTCTCTAGCTCTGACTTAAGCACTCAGAATTTCAAACTTATATAGCATCGAATGAAACACACCATTATCTTCCATCTTGTCTTGAAGCTAATGTCACTTCAGATATCACTAAAAATTCCAGTAAAATAACTACACACACAGCAAAAGTCAATACTTTATCTGTAAAAATGTGTTTTTAATAGATTGGTGGGTTATCGAAAAAAAAGCATAACAGAAATAAGGTTCCTGCCAAGAGACAAAAATGCATCTTGATACATTTTGTGGAGTAATAAATCTTTAAAGCACAGAACTTATTCAGAGACACATGATAGTCAAACATGAAGACGTAAAAATAATTCATTAGAATTTACACAGTGGTCAATCTGAAATATTTCTTTATAAATTGTGAATATCATAGTGTCATTATATTTTATGTGTTTAGTTTCTTAGGGAACAGCTTAGTTATACTCTTCTGTAAATAATCTATTTAAATAAAATATCACACAGTCGAGAATGCAGTGCAACGCCAGTGTCCCTGTAATTTGGACCCCTCATCTTGCACCCAAAAACAACAGCACTGTAATGCATCTTATGTTGGAGTGACTTTAATATAGTCATTCAGAAACACAGTACGACCCAACATTTATCATGTGAATTAAATTATATAAAAATCCCCTCACTTGGCTTACTGTGACACATGTCACTGACATGTCTACAGGTACATTTTTAGTTATTACAATAATAAATATCTTTAGTAAAACTGCACTTTATGAACTGATTGAACTGAATGTGAATTCTCTCCAGTTCTATACAATAGTAGAGCAAATTAAGCTGAATACTCTGTGGCTTCTTAAAACTGCTACGGCAAATAATATAACTATAGTGTATATTTACATTATATACATATTTTAAATAAGTTACATAATGCACAGGTAAAAGGGTATCTATTAGGTTTATATCATTATACAAAGGTCTGTGACAGTATGGCTTTGTAAATATGCATTACAATATTGTCATCAGAAAAAGCAAGTGAAGTCAGACCGTACTGTCTTTCAGCATCTTACCCAGTTTTCAGTGTTGAATGTGAACTTTTGCACTTTTTATTGATATGGCGACTCTTCAGAACTTGTATGAGCAATATTTGAACTAACTCGCACTAATAAAAAGATGCTTAAAAACAGAGCTTTACTGACTGCTTAGGCCACACTAAAAACCATAAGAAGTAGCCTCTACTTGCTAAGCAGCGTTTTAAGGGAGCGGGTGAGTGCGTTAGCAATGGCCGACATGGTACTGGAGTGGCGGACCAGGGCTTTTACGCTGTGCTCCCCAGGTGCTCCCACTGTTGCAGCTTCAGCGGCTTTGAGCAAACATATATAGTTCATAACGACCTCGTCAACCTTTGCAACAACCTCTCTCTGTTGGTGTGAGGCTGAAGCTCCGAGCCCTCTGACCAGACACATACAGGCTTCACAGAGACAGCATAGCACCTGGAAACTACAAGTCACAGCTAGCAGCATCTCCTCAGGAGTACCATGGGCTTGTGCCATCCGACGGCATGCCCGGCCTAATTCTTTTGACTCAACAGAGAGGAGCTGCTTGTATTGGGAAACATCTTGCAGAGGCATCTGGGCTCCACGGTCACAGCGACCTATGCTGGATCTCACCAGTGCAATGAGTTCACTAGCATCACGGCGGACGTCAGTGAAGCCAGATGGGAAGCCGTACATGCGGTCCTTGAGCGCATTGATTCGTGCAAGACGGTCACTAAAGCTCATGTTATTGAGGACCTCCCCATACAGCTGCTCCCCTGCTGCATCCACCGCTGAGCCACAAGGGAACACAGCAGCACCGTCACCACAAGCACTGATATTACTCCCACCACGGCCTCGTCTTGGCCTCTCCCACTCAGTATCATCCTCCTCGCCCTCACTCTTTCGTTTAAAAAAGCAGTAGCTGAAAGGCCCATTGCATCTCCAGGGACTGGTGTCCAGTTTTTGAGAGCCCTTGATATGTTTTCCATCTTTCTGCAATGGAAACGCAACAGAAGCCCTTCGACAGTCTAACCTATTGCCTGTAGACCAGCACGAGGTGTGAGAAGACACAGAGCCTTGAGAGTAGCTCTTGGAGAGTCGCTTCCTTGTTTGCCTTCGCTGGACTTTAGTCTCACCTTGATGGGGCACAGATGGTGACAAGGGCTGCTGGCTCCTGCTTCGAGTGGGCTTGTCAAACAGAACTTCTGCACTACCAGAACTGGCAGTCACATTGCTAGAACTTCGCTTAAGCTCACGACCCCGTTGCAGGCTGTTGCTTAAGGAATCTGACTGTGGGGTTGGTGTAAGAGCTTGAATGTGGTTCTGACTCGGCCGGTACTGCATGGAATCCTGTGGGCATCCTGAGTTGCTAGAGCTAGTGTTGGCTTGTGCTGGAAGGGACAACAGAGAGGAAGGTGGTAGTGGTGGGGGAGGTGGTGGAGGAGGTGGTGATTGTGGGTTGCGAGATGGGGAAGTAATGCAAGCCCTTGGGCCTGTAGATGCCTGCCTAATAAAAGCAGAGGGATGGTCTCCTTTTCCCAGAGAGACGGTGTTGAAATCTGATCGTTGACCACTTGCACCGGGGGTGGCAGAAAAACAGAGAGAGTCATTTGGTCGTTGATGGGAGGACTGACGAACAGCATGCTTCACTCTTGGCTCGGATCTGAACCAATCTTCTGTTGTGCCACTTGGTTGGCTTCTTGAACGAGGTGGGGGACGGTTTGGGTTACCTCCATCCTCGTGGTTTCCACCTGTAATGAATCTGTCATCAGGACTGACACAACCTTCTCTCCTGTACATTGCCAGGAACTGCTCTTGATCCATACCACTCCTCTCTATTTCACTTTCTAGACCAGAAAAGGAGTTTCTCCTCTCAGAAGTACTTGGCCTGAAATCTACATTTTCATTTAGTATCTGAGAATGCATCTCAGGACTTCTCTTAAGTTTTGCAGGAAGTGTGGCTGAATGGTATGACCGTTGATTCTTATTTGCCATTTGCATCGGGGCAGAATTGGGGGTGAGAAATGGGGATGATATGGAGGAAGGCATACATGGACAGCGAGCAATGGTGTTCCCCCTATTCTTAACCATCTCAACAAGCTGGGGGTTGCTTGTGATAAAACGCCTGGTGTCTTTTTTGACTGCTGCTCCCATGCCTGCGCTATGCAGCTTCCCACCTTGATGCATCTGGCTGACTGTTAAGTAGTTAATCAGTTGTCTGTAAGCCTCACTGCCTTCTTTCTGGTTTATCCCCTTTAAAGAGGCTTGTTGTTTAGGATGTGGATCATTGTGCGCCTTCTTGCCAGTACCTGTAGATTCTTTATGCTTGGATGGTGTTGCAGAGGAGGGACGTCCTTGTTCAGCTCCATTACCAGGAGCATGAATATTGGGCAGCATTTTTCGGAGTAGGGCAGGGTCAGCATGAGGGTGTAGGTCCTTTCCCTGAGCGCTCTGACCAGGCATGCCGCGAGGGATTCCAGGTTTGTTATCGTCATAGTTAAACACCCTGAGCAATGACGAGGAGGAGCTAGAAAGCGGGTGTCTTTGCAAATGGTGATGCTTTGATTCAAATGGTCCAGGGCCCAGAGGGGAGTCAGTCGGGGTAGCACATGCACTACTGTTTGTGCTACCACCAGCATCCAGTGATGAGCACAAAGAACCCTGCAGTGAGCTTTGGGCTTCCCCTTGCAAATTTGAAATCCTTTTTGCAAGGTGGTACTCGCACAACCGTGCAACACTCTGCTGTCTGGACATAGGTGGATGGTCACTCTGTATGTCTGATCCCTGTTCAGACCCCCCTGATCTGGGTTTTTTGGCTGGGGACAACAAGGATGCCACAACTAAATGTTCATCTGGATCAACAGCCCCAGCTCCATTATCTGCATGACAGTCCTCCGTGTTGACAGTGTCTAACAGACGTTCAGAGGTAGTAGAGGAAGGGCGGGGATTTCTGTGATGGTCATGGGGGTGGCTGTTCATCCCAAGGCCTTCAGCTGCAGAGTTTTCTGCATAAAAAGAATTTTGTCTTCTTTGAATTTCCCCTCGCTCACAGAATGATGTGCGCTGGTCCAAGTCAAGCCGGCTGCGACTCCCAATTCCCTCACCCCGATACCCCTCCCTTGTGCTGAAGGTGTTATACTTCCCACTTGAGTCTGCAGATTTTTTGTGATGCTTCCCCCCTGGTGTGGTTGAACTGGGACGCTGGAGAGTGGATGAGAGGTGGGCCCTTAGCTCCAAGCCTTCTTGTCCTGTTGAGGGGACATCCAATAGGGGGCTCCTTCTTGGAGGAACTGCTGGAGGCTGAAGATGGCGTGTTGGACTGCGGGGTCTTTTCTGTACTGTTCCGGTTGAACTGGGTGAAACGGGGAATTCTGTTTTCTCCTCAAGGAGAGGTTGGTATCCTTCTCTTGTGGCAACCAGGAGACGCATGTGGCTCTCACTGAGCCTGTGAGTAGCAGCAAGTTCAGAGATTTCAGTCATTTCTGAGGAGTTTGTCTCATTACCAGAATCAGAGGATGGCTCTGGACTGAAGCCTCGGGATGCATAGGCACCTAGAAGATAAAGAGATAAAAATGGCTGTTTCAATTTAAAGCAAACAGTCGAGAAATTAATACTTAAGTAAATATCCCAAAGCACTAAGTCCATATTTGTAATTCATGAAGAGGCCTGTTATACAAATAGATTTCTGTGAATTGAGATTTTTCTCATTTAGTGGTGATATTGATGTTTTGGAACATCAACACAGTGATATCTTAAATTTTGGAATAGGGGAATATAAAATAACAGGAATAAATCCCAGGCGAATGCATTGTGTTTTTGTGCACTCGTGCAACTACATTGTTCAGTATCGTTGTATCATATATGTGGGAAATAAACTAATATGAAAGAGTTTATTCTAGCTTTAATTCTGTTTTATCTCTGTCTGTTTGCAACATGTCCATCCTTAATTCAAAGAATAAACCAAAAAGGTATTTTTAGTCTGAGGGTAGCTGACAGCTACCTCATCCTCACCTGACAGGATTAGAACACTGTAAAAGTATGGCCATCATACCCAAGCCTCTTCTTAAACAGAGATCTAATACACCAGTTGTGGTGCAACAGACCATAGAATGAGATGGAATTTATTTGGGGGGCTTTGAAGCAAACAAAACCAGTGCTTAAAATGGGAACAAATAATGCTATTGACCAGACCTGGGTTGTTACTGGGTGGTGGTGGGGGAGGTCTCTGTTCAGAGACAGACAAAGCCTCCAGCGCCTGCAGAGTATTCACCACTGCATTCTCCAGCCTCCTATCCTCTCCCCTGCTCCCCTCCCCCTCCACATGGGTTGGGACGGCATCAATCAGCGACACTGGGATGTCATCATTGTCAGGTGTGCTCAGCGGCCTCCCCTCAGGTGCCGTGTCCTCATCCGAACTGTCCCGAAAGCCTGGTGGTGGAGCTGCGATTGCGAGGTTGAGGGTCTGCAGCAACGTGTCGTCCTCATCATCATCCACGCCGTCATCCCCCTCTGGAGGTGGCAGCGAAGTAAGGTCGATGATGTCGTCAGTGGAACCAGAAATTTTCAGGAAGGTGGATTTGCCAGCTGCTGTGGCTAACCCTCCTCCTTGGCTCCCGCCGTTTTCACCTCCACCTCCTCTGTCTTCGCAAACAGGTGTCCCCCCTGTGGAGTCCTCCTCACAGGAGGCATCGTCGTCATCCTCTGCGTCATCTGTTGTGTCACGATAAAATAGATCCCTTAACACTGGCTCCTCAGCTCCTTCCTCGGTTATTATGTTACTATAGACATGAGTCAGACCACTAAACTGAAATGGCACCCTGTCCTGTCCCCGAAAGTCTGAATTATTGTGCAAGTAGTGCGGTCTGTGCTCGGGTACCTCAGGGCTCTCTAACAGTCTTTCATAGCCTAAATTCTTGGACTTGGTCAAAGGTGGGTCGCCCCCAAAAATAAATGAGACTTTGGCGCTCCGAGGTGAGTCTTGTATTTTGTGTCGGGTAGCAGGGGGAAGAGGAGGGGGCACAGGACTCCTCCGATCCCCGAGGTCTCTGTCAGGGTTTTGGGGTTCATGGAAGTAAGGAGAGATGCTGTTTTCACTCTGTCCATTGTCCGAATACTGAGAGTCCCTGTTGTAGACGTCTCCTTGGATTTGCTCCTCGTTGTAGCCCAAAGATGTGCTGTATGGCCACTCCAGGACACGATCCTGACCTGCAGCAGAAGTAGTATAAGTTCTTGTTACTTAGTGTGGTTCACAAAAAACCCCAACTCCAAAAGTCTGGAAACTATGTGTAAAACACAACTTTAAATAGAATTTGTAAACCCTATATTTAACCGAAAACACAGCAAAGACAACAGATCAAATGTTCCAACTAATAAATGCTCTTGGTTTTTCAAAGTATCTGCTTGTTTCTAACTTGATGCTAGCAACACATTTCAAAAAAGTAAGGATGGGAACAACAAAACACCAAAAAAGTTGGGTGATCCTGATAAACTAACTGGAGGAGCATCTCCAACAAACTTTTCAACAGGTAAGCAACACAACCAGGCATGAAAAGTTGTTCCAGAGAGGATGAGTCTCATCAAAATAAAAACAGGAAGAGGTTCACTGCACTGTGAGAGACTGCATGAGCATAATAATTACAATTTCAGAATAATTGTGAAGTTTCAGTGGACTTCATCATCTACATAACATAGCATCAAGAAACAGACATGACTCTGCGGTGGAAATCACTGCAAGGGCCCAAAGCAATTCATTAAACCACAGTGATTCACGTTCCACCTTTGATTAGCAGTTTTTCCTTCATATAAATATATGATTTACATTATTTGAAAACCATTAAATCTTATTTTTGTTAACATTTTACAGAGCATCTCAACTATTTTTAAAAGGGGTTGTAATTTAAGTACAAAAAAGATTCAGCTCATCTTTGTTGTTTTTAAGGGCTCTTCTTCAAGCCTTTTAAATAATTATGCTACTTGTGAAAAAAATCATTTTCAAGCCATTAAATCCAGTCCAATACATGTCAAGTTAAATATATGATTTCCTTAAATTGTAGACACGGTTGAACATTTGTAAATGGATAGAAAAGCTGAGCTCTACCTTAAATTTATCAGTGTTTTCAACACGTTTAGTCCTGCCCACTTATACACACAAACATCCACATGGTTCAACATAACTCACTTGTATCATCCCCAGTGCTGTTGCAGTGTGGCACACTGAAGATAGATCTCCTTGCATCCACTAGGAGGCGATAGTAGCCTGCTGTTAAACAGGCAAGGTTCATTGCTTCACTTGAGTCCATGATCAGCGTGATGGGCTGTTGTTGAAAAAGAACAAAAAAAGGAGGGTTTACTAAAATAAAGAGAATAAATGCAGTTTGAGAAAAATTTGTCAAGTAGATTGAGTGATTGTTTTTCTACAGAAACTTGCTTACCCGGACATCCAGAACATGCAGCTCCAGCCGAACGTTGGTCTCGTCCTCAGTGAGGATCTCGATCCTGTTTACATGGCTGAAGTCAGCCAATAGGGCCACTAGGTTTGTCCGGGCGTTGATGACATGACTAATGCCGTAACGAGGGCCGACTAACAGTGTCACGTCTGTCTGCTTCTCCCCTTGCTGGAAAAAGTTGACAGTTCAAGACAAAAGTTTTCATTTACCGAACATCAACAGAGATGCAGTTCAAACACAAGTTTTCTTCTCTTCTTACCAACAGTACTGATTTGAACTCCCTCCCTCCGTACAGTCTGAGTTCACTGAGGTACCTCAGGTAATGCACCTTGGCCTGCAAAGCAGTCAGCTGCAAATAGAGAGGAGAAACACAATTGTAAAGCATTTGAAAGGATATCACTTCAAGCTGAACAGTCGGATTTGTCTCCTAATGTCAGGATGTAAAGCACTCTCAGGCCATTTGGAACTCTCCGTTACATCCTATTAGATCATTGAATCTTAAAAGCTGCTTCACTGCAGTGCCAGTGAAGCAGCTTTTAGGAAAGACATTTAGGGCCGATAGGATTTCCAAAATGATGTTTATCTTAAGTTACACTTTAAGAATATATCAATGAGTTGACTTTTTTGTACTTTTACAGTTGAGTTTAACATGTAAACAAAGCATTTTATGCTTATTTCATTATTATTTCAGGACTGATGATAAAAAAAAGTCTGTGGTAAATTTTGCCTAAATGTTTTCATCTCAAACTCGAAGCTTATTAACACATATGAGTGTAATATTGCACACTTTTTCATGCCTTCATCTGCATGTGCAATTTCTATTATGACAGGGTTTCTGCAGGTTTTCAAATGTAAGACTTTTTAATACTTTTTTAAGAATACAATTTAAGACCCACTTTACATCCATACTGGTCAAAAAAGTACAAAAGACATGAAGGGAAATCAGAACACTTTACATAACTTCAAATCAATCTTCATTTGTAAGTAACATCAATACATTTTTGAGACCTTTCGAAATTGTATTTAAGACATATTATGAGGTTTTAAGAGAATTTTAGACATTTTAAGGCCTTAAATTCTAATTATTGGATTTTAGATGTTTTAAGACTTTTTAAGACCCCGCAGATACCCTGTACTTCTTGGAAATCTATGTTTTTTACAGTAAAATTTGATACTCTTGTATGGAAACCATGGACATGGCATTCTCTGTGGTCTTGACAATCTGGTTCTTCCACTGAATAGGAGTGTTGAATGAAAAAATTAGCCTTAAAAGGAAAATATCCGGGACCATTTATTGGTGACGCCTGTGCAGTGTCTTTTTTTTAACCAACCTTCCTGTCTCGGAAACATTAGGCTAATGAAATGTCTGACCTTCTACTTGAAAACCAGACATCTTTATTAAAACATCATTTTGTATTTATGAATATCATTTTCACTTTAACCAGTCTGCCTTTCCACAAACCGGAGCAAGCAGCCTCTTCTGTTAAAATCTGAGTGATAGCTCCAGGACTGTAATAACAAAGCTAAAATTGAGCATCATCGTCTGGCTGTATCTTTCCCTAATAAGTATGTTGGCTACCAGCTGCCACTGTGAATGTAAATGATTAGGGAGCACAACACGCTGCTCAGGCTGAGAGGAGAAAGATCAGTCTCTCTCAAACGTGACTGACAAACTTTCACTTTCCACACATAAGGCATGTTTTTATCCAGGACAGAGCGGCTCCTGCATACAGCTGCAGTCAGCATCACTCATCCAGGAAGTACCACCTCTATATTCAAATGATCTTGCTTCTCACCGGCCTCATATTCATGACATCTCAAGAGTGAATCTCTGGCTTAAGTTCCAGTCTGGTAAGGTAAATAAATGTCTTAAAAAATGAGCAGACGAACTTTTATCTGAAAAAGTTTTCCAGACAGAGCTAAAAAGTTCAGCTGATGCTAGAACAGCAGCATCTGTCTGGAACATGTGCGTGTGAATATGAATATCTTTTTATGCACACCGTTTGACAATCCATTTAGCTTCTTATTCTCATTACTATTCAAGGTCTCACTTGACGAAAGGTCTGAGGTTGACAAGGGTGAGAACCTTTACAAGGTTGAGCGTGGCAGCGGGGCTATTTTCGGATATTGCATCAGAAAACCGACAGGCTGTGTGTTTGCGCGCATGTGTGTGTGTGCGTGTCAGAAGTTTATTAGCAAGGACGGGGAAAGACAAAGGGAGCGGCTTACTTTTTTCCCTGGAGGCACGAGGTTCTGGTTGGTTTTGAGGATGTGCGTCAGAGCTTTCTTGATGTTTTTCTCTTTCATGCTGGACAGCACGGCGGGAGGCAGGAACAGCGACAGACCCCACTCCTTTCTGTGAAAGGGGACATTGATTTTAAGTCTAACATAAACCCTCAGGAAAAAGAAGGACTCTCAACAGCCATGGGCTTGAGTGCTTCAAGTCAATGGCAAAGAACCAAAAGACTCAGAGACACGCTGTTAGTTAGAGAGCGAGACAGTCACGACACGAAAGAGAATTTTGTTACTCTCAGAAAAAAGCTATGATGAAATCTGCAAATTCAAAAAATTCCCTTTCAATTACGCATACATCCAACTTAAAGAGTGAGTATATCATACATAAACTCCTGATGCTTTCCAGGACTTATAGATCTTGATATTTTCAGGAAAGGCACAACTTATTAACTCAATAAAACAGGCCACACATGCTGAATCCCATGCTCCCAAACTGCACTGATAGGGGGTCATTTTGACATAATAACGTGGTTTTACTTAATCAAGACAGGCACATTGCTACAACTTACTTTTAACACAACATAAAGGACTGGATTTGAGGCCGTGAATGAATAATTTTGAAGCACTTAGATCAGGTCAGATCATGAGACGTGATCAACAGACTTTGGGCGCCATGGGAAATAAACTTCTGCCAACCCACCAAGGAAATTTTTTGTTAAAAGGAGAATCCCCACAAGCAAGAAGTTTATCACTTTGTGAACAACTGCGTGAGCAAATAGTCCAACAGTTTAAGAACATTTTTCAACCTACAACTGCAGGAATTTAGTGATTTTATCATCTACCCACTGAGCAATAGACAGCTATTAGACAACTAGTTTTTTTTTTTTAGACCTAATTTCAATCGCTTAGATTCTGTATATTTTTAGACAGAATTTAGACGTTGCACTTTGACCCACTATTTGATAACTGTTTATTTCAAAAAGCAACGGTGAGCTGCATAACTGATCTCCAAGTACTTAACCAAAATAATTATGATAGCCGTTGAGCAATATACAGTTAGACCTCTGTCTGGCGGCTAGTCTAAACTTGGTCTAAATTTAGACATCTAAAAACCCTTCATTTTTAGACCTGCATGTTTTGGATGTTTCCCTGCTCCAACACACCTGATTCAAATGATTAGCTCGTTATTAAGCCATTACAGAGCTTGATAACGAGCTGATCATTTGAATCAGGTGTGTTGGAGCAGGGAAACATCCAAAACATGCAGGACAGTGGGCCTCGAGGACTGGACTTGAGAACCACTGTACTAGACCTCTTTTAGACCTCAGTGTGTACAGTCCATAAAATCATCAATTTTATGGAAAAAATCTGCATGTAAGGAGCGAGGCCCAAAACCAGCATTGAATGACCATGACCTTAGACTCCTCAGGCGGCACTGCATTAAAAATTAACATCAATCTGTAAAGAATACTACCAGGAACTCTTAAGTAAATCATCGCCAGCTCACACAGTTGGTCTCTATACATCTACAAGTACAGGTTCAAACTCCACCGCGCAAAGACAAAGCCAGAAATCAACAACAGCCAGAAATCGACAACAGCTCCTCTGGACCCGAGCTTACCTGAGACGGACTGACACAAGGTGGAAAAGTCTGCTGTTTCAAATAGTTTCTGGAAATCATGGACTTTAGTTACAGAGAGGACTCACTCTGGCTTAGTTATACCCCAAAAAGAGACGAACATAATTGTGGTTTATATCCAATTCAAATGGCCTGAAGTTTGTAAAAAGACTACACTAAATTATAAACAGAAGCCAGATCACTTCCTCCTCTATAATCACAAAGAAAATGGTGTTAACTGTCCAAAACTTACTGGATGTATTTGAGCGACACTTTCTGACTCTGCCTGGTTGTCATGGTGAGGATGTACATCTGCAGAGCAGCCAACCGCAGCGCAGCGTCGTACTTCAGCTCCGGGCCGAACCGTTCCAAGACCACATCGTTACAGCTCTACGAGAAAGTCAAAGGAACATCACATAAGAAACACACAGTCGGTTTCTATCCTTCGTGGCCGTCTGAAGTGTTTTTGACGGCGGCATCGAGGGATTCCCGTGGAGCTGAAACAGGCTGGAGATTCCTTCAAAGGGATCCTGTCCCTTATGAAAGACTCGGAAGCAGAAAACAGTGAACTCTGACAGGAAAGATGTGTAGCTTTGCTTCAGTGGGGCTGTTTCACTCCACTAATTATCAAAGAAGGCCTGTGGGGAAGCAGTTTACTGTTTTAGAGAGGATTAGCTTATATAAGAGCAGGTTTATTTGAGGACTGGGGTTTTTGTTTTGACAGGACTCCCTCGGTATCCCTGCGAGTAACTCTCTTGATTATGAAAGTCACTTCCAAACCATACGGTAGATCAAAGATTCCTCATTCGGATGAGTCAGGAGCTACATCGTAGTCGCCAGATGTAGTTTTTGTACTTTAATTATGAGTCCGCCCACCTGTACATAGAGGTATTCAAACGCCACAGCGTCTCTCCGCAGCAGCTCCACGGGGTCCCGGGGCATGAAGCTGACTCTGAAGAAGCATTTCATCTTGTCACAGCCGGGCCTCTGAGTCACCTGGGGACAGGGGAGGCGGGAGGGGACAAGGAGAGAGGAAGGAAGAGATCGATCGCAGGGTGATAGATGAACGGGGGGCATCGGCACAAGCAGGGATGAAGAGAAAGAAGTGAGGCGGCAGCGTACAATCATGAGCGGGTAAACAAAGCTGTGGCTGCGAAACTGGAGTCAAAAGAAGAGTTCAGAAGACACATAGTTTATCTGAAGGGAAAGATAGTACGGTGTAGTCGCACTGAAACTACTTCTAGAGAGTAAGGAGAGGCATGCAAACCCTGGAAGTGGGAGGCCAAATTTGTGGGAGTAAAAGTTGTAGAAGAACTACATGTGGTTGTAATAGTAGAGTTTATTTTCTGTATTTGCAGAAGAAGGACAAGTAGGGATGATCTCAGGTGACAGAGGGAGTCACAGGATCCCACAGTCTGGACCTTAACCATGTGAAACTGGCTCACCAAGTGTGGCTAACCCTAGTAGAGCTAGCACCACCTGCCTTAAGTGCGCTTTGTAGGTTATTGTCCACAGGGCAGTCTAACTAGACACAGCCTCAATATAAAAGTACTGCCAAAGAGCGTGAGGCTATAAGATGGCATCTGTGCTTGTTTACATCCAGGTAGTAAAGCATTATGGGACATTAGCCTAATTAACCTAAACAAAGGCTATGCTGCGACATACGGCGGTGATTTGGGCCTACAATTATATAAAAATAAACAATCAGTTCAACAGATAAAATAGACTAATGATTATGTTGTAAGGATCTGTTGGATTCAGTGTGTTTCACAGTTCAAACACTCAAAATTTGTGCATTTTAAACTGATTTGCATCATTTATTAAAAAGCAATGTTAAAATTTGTCCATCAAGAATCAAGTTAAGTACAAGATTGATGCACTAATTACACAACTTTCCTGAAAACACATACTGAAATAGAGTTTGTTTAGCAGCTGGATACTGTGTTTTAGAGGTGCAGTGAGTCCATTGTAATTTGTGAGATAAATTCAACATGTCAAATCCTGCATCAGTGTAAAATTTCTTGTCAGTTCTCTAGTTTTCTGCTAATGGGAATGCTTCCGTGTAAAAAGTCCTTGACTGCATCATCAATAATAACGCGATAAGAATGTTATTCAACTCACTTCACGACCTGAAAACTTTGTGGTATAATTCAGCAGCAGTACCTGGAGAAAAATAACTCGTTTGTTTGTTTTTTTCCTGTGCATTTCATTCAAACAAACAAACAAAGAGATCAGTATCAGATACTGTTTTCTGCACAAAAGGGCAAAAAAGTCAGTTTTTCAATCATTGAGACTGGTTCTCTTTTTCTATACATTGGACCCTGTCCCTGACACTCAGGTGTACAACAATATATAGAATACACTTGATTACTCATGTCAACATGTCATCTATGCAACATCCTCAGCTCTATATCACAACTGTGCAGTATGAATATCAAAATGATCTTCTTTGTGATCCTGTAACCTCATTAGAATGGAGCGGGCACTGTTGGGTGAAAGGAAGTGTGTGAGTGTGTGTGTGTGTGAGTGTGAGGAGGAGAGTAGGTGTAATGCGAGCTGTCGCCCCTGCTGTGCCAGTTCTGATAAATGACACTAAGGTCCGAATGCTGCTTGAATACTGAGCAGGAATGTGTGTTTGTGTGGGTTTAAGTGTGTGTGTGTGTGTGTGTGTGTGTGTGTGTGTGTGTGTGTGTGCGTGTGTTTCTGAAGGAAAGTGAATAAGGAAGAAAATAACAAACCCTACCTGAGTAAGCATCTCCTGTTCGTGCAGGAGAAGCAGTTTGCTTCCGGAGCCTTCCTCCCTCTGCTCCAACACCAGGGAGAAGTGCTCGATGCATTTGATTGACAGCTTCTCCTGCAGGGTCAGGATCACGTCCTGAAATAAACACACCATGTGAGATGTAAAACAAGCATTAAGACATGAATAAGGCGGTTTTTGAAATCACTAATTTAGAAACTTCATTAATCTATCGTGCATAAAATCATTAAAAGATTCTAGAGGAATCACTGTAGAGACGGGACAATTCAAAATGGATGAATTTGAAGTAAAACTCCTTTTGAACTATTCTTCTTGTTGTATTTACACAGTGCACAGCATACCAAGAACCTGCTTTAATGTAAGTTTTAGGATTTAGTGAGTCACAGTTGTTCATATTACAACAAAGTCACTATACATAACCTCAGCACAGAGTAGCAGCACCTGTTTCTGAGTTTCGCATTTGCATCTTTCACATACAACTAAAAACAAAAATGTTTTCACCATCTGTCTTAGCCTCTAAGAATATATAATACGGTGGGATTTAAAGGGATATTCCAGCGTAAAATTAATTTAGGGTCAAACACACCATAACACCAAGTTAGAGACCCCCTCGCGAGATGAATGTTGCCGACCGCTTGCTTCTCTAGTTATACCAACTTTAGTAACGACCGCAGGATAGCAATACACAGCAGTCTGAGGAGACATATACAAACCTCAACCAAAACGCCACTCTATAGCCACAAATAATGCTCAGAACAGCACCTAACTTCATCAACAGTACATATAGGGTCCCAGCCACAGTACTAGCCACCAAACATCTTTTTAACTTTGCCTAATTTCTTTAGCAAAGAGACTAAATACAACTCACCTACTCTCTTCCAGCAGTTGCTTGTTTGTAGCGAGACCTCAAGCCAGTCCATTACGGGCTACAGCGGGGTGACACAGCTCAAGGAGGAACATCTATGATCATTTCATCATCATATGTGTATTGCTATCGTGCAGTCGTTACTAACGTTGGTGTTATGTGTGTTTAACCCTAAATTAATTTTACACCAGAATATCCCTTTAAAAAGACTGAGTGAAAATGGAGGGAAGGGCCCTAAATCAGTGGTTCTCAAGTCCAGTCCTCGAGGCCCACTGTCCTCCATGTTTTGGGTGTTTCCCTGCTCTAACACACCTGATTCAAATTATCTGCTCGTTATCAAGCTCTGTAATGGCTTACTAACGAGCTGATTATTTGAATCAGGTGTGGCCTCGAGGACTGGACTTGAGAACCACTGCCCTAAATGAACTTTGAATATGTACATGATAGTGTTTCAACTAACAGCAAGCTCCAACAGATAAAGCCTTCAAATCTTAGTCTCAGCCACTCAAATGGTGTTACTTTAATACTTACGCCATGTAAAGGTAGACCCTACAGCTTCACATCCTGGTCTGGGTTTCTAATTTACATAACTACCCATTAACCATGCATTATCCCTTACTCATCAGAACTGTTTCTCCCACTACACAGTCAGCAATCTGGCTGTAAAATGCGGTATGTGAGAAGAAGGATCCAAAAGTTTGGAAATGCACAAGAGATAACCTATACAGTGATTTGAAATGAAGCATTTTTGAGGTAAATGAAGTCAAATATGTTCTTCTTCTTAAATAGTTCTTCAGGTAGCATCATATTGAGTTTGCGAAAGGAATAATCGAGCTCCCTTCCCTCCTAACTGCACTCCGGAGACAATCTGCTCTTTGCCACCTCGGCTGAATAAATGAGGTGCTTAAAGAAATGGAAATCAAAAAGTGATAGAATTTCATGCTCTGTGTGTCTGTGCCTCAGGACGCAGCCATTTGTAGTCTAAATGAATTTATCCCTTTGTAATTATAGATGCAACACAGACTGCTGATTTTGACTGCAGGGCGGGGAAACACACACATTTAGATACACACCTTGATAGAGGTACTGCTGTCGAAGCGAAAAGACTTGGTCTGCCCGTTCTCCAGGTAGACCTTCAGGACATTTGGCATGAACAGAAGAGAGTTGTCCTTCACCGGGTTCTGAAAAGGAGGAAAACCGTCAGTCTTCTTGTTTGAGTTTGATGTAACAGACATTTTCCTGAGTGTCCTTATGTAAAGAAGTGACAACCATCTGGCATTGCCTATCCAGGTCATACATGAGTGTGTGTTCATGTGTGTGTGGCTGCAGCAGAACTTACTGGAACCTGGCCGTTTATAATGACCTCCTCTGCAAAGCGCACTTTGACCGGATTGGACTTGAGCATGGCTTTTTTGGCTGCACTGATGAACGCTGATTTAGGGGACTGAGAGGCAGCCGTCCAAAAAGAGGAACAGACAGACAGAGAGACAGATGGAGGGAGAGAGATGTAAGAGTGGAAAAAAAAAATACATGCACCAAGACAGAGGACAAAGCAGGTTTCTAGCACACATTGGAAAAGTAATTTTATGCTGTAACAATAACCGAGCAATCCTGAAAGTGGAAGAACAAGTTTTGGTCACAAGTAATGAAATCTCGATGCGGTGCAACACAATTTCACCGGAGGATTAAGATCATCGTACTGGAATATGCAGCTCTGTTAAAAAAAAAAGAAAAAAATGAGAGACTGCACCAAAATTTTCCTCAAATTATCAGACGAAGCCCAGCTGATCGATTTCTGTGTCAAGAGTGTCACCAAACAGCAGGGGCAGACTGAGCTGTTTGAGGGGCAGGGGCGAAGCTAAAAAAAGGAACCGCTGTGTGCAACAGGGCACCAGTGCACAGGAAGTTGTTTCTGTCTCTCCATAATAGGGCGTTGCAAGGTTTTTGGACTTTATTTTGAAATCCTAAACAGTAAGTATTTAAACCTTATGAGGCTAAAGTAATCAAAGGGGGTTTGGGGGGGTCCTCCACAAGAAAATTTTAAACATTTAAGCCATTTAAGTTTTGTTATTACCTGCTCATTAATACCAAAAATGCTACTTTCTGTGTTAAAGGCATGATTGACGATTGGAGAGATTGGTAATTATGATGAACCTCGTTTATATGGCAATCATGGTCTTATAGTGCGATCTCCACAAAGTGAAGAGAAAAAAGAATAGAAAAAATCCGTTCAACCTAGCAGGTGCAGGGCTCACCGAATTGGCACCTTAACACCTTTTTTTTTTCAAATGATACCAAATCTCCAAGAATTGTTATTTCACTAAGTACCTGGTATTGTAAGGGAAATGTTGCTCAGAAAGAAGATATTCTGCTGTTCTTGGACACGATTTTAGTGGTTGTGTTTAATGTAAAGTAACAGATGGTGTATATAGGATTGATTTAACATAAATCATTGGAGCAGTGTTGAACACACTTCTTTACTTTGGAAACAGCAGTCAATAAAAAAAAGACTTCTGAGATGCAGCTGTTCAGAGATTTTGGGTTAAACCAGTTGTTGATTTTAATATATCATTTTTTGTTTCCGTAATTAAATGTATTTATTGATAGAATCTCAAAGTTGATTTTTAAAAAATATATATTCACTTATTTATTGACTAACTTATTCATTCATTCAAGTGGCCTTTAAAGCTCAAGTGAGAAACTATATCTTGTCCTTTACAGCCTGACTTTTGACAATGATATATGTCATTTATTGTAATTATTTTTATATGGATACGGTAAAAAAAAATAGGGCTGTCTGTTTAGGAACTAAAAATGAGGATATACAAATTGTTTATCTTGTCTTTGATGGTGTTGTTCACTTTGGAATATCATAAAAAGGAATCAATATGAATTTCAGCTTGTTTCGCAAATGCCCAAAAACTCCCTATGGGAGCTTTAAAGTGGCAAATGTAAACACAGGGCTTTTTTCAGTGCTGCCTCTGAAATCTACCTTCAAAAAGTGCAGAAAAAACTGTTGAATATTGTCAGTGATGGTGTTAAATGTTTTAGATTATCATAAAAAGGAATCAATATGAATTTCAGTCTTTTTTAATTTTCCTTTATTATGTTGTGACAGTTATCTAAACCCCTCTGACAATTTTATCCATCATTGTAGTTATGGGAATATAAAGACTGCTAACCCTAGTGAAAACACTGGTATAGAATATAGATATTGTGTGCACAAAGAACTCCAGATGATGATTTTTTTGTACTCACAGGATACGGTTGGACAACAGTCAACACGATGGACTCTTTGCAGCTCCTGAGGTAAGAAGACAGGAGATCAGAGAGTCAACGATCTCATCAGAAAACGATGATGACGGAGAAAAACAAAAGGCAGATAAAAAGCAGAAACTTGATTAGCTTGTCTGAAATTAAATTAGACGCCTCTGGCAATCAGCACTTACAAGCAGATGCGGTTAAAACCATAAACACACAAATACACACACTAATTTGTTTCCAATTTAGAAAACGTGTGACAGTATCTCCAGTGAACCAAAGAGCGCTCACTGAAACAGCAGAGAGCCTCGTCTTCCTTCTCATTGATGCTGAATATTAATTTTCTGAATGTAATGAGAGGATGTTTGTGTGATGAGCAGTTGTATTTACTTCACTTTATGCACGAGAGTGTAAAGAATGAGTCAAACTTGGCGAGCACTTCATTAAAGTCTGAGAAAAACAAACTACAATCAGTGAATTAATGAGAATGACTTTTATTTGTGACTTTGGCTTCTTCTGTCTAACTTTGTGTAAACTTTAAATAACAGACAGCAGATTGGATCATGGTTTGTCTTTTTCTTTTTTGGGGGATGTTGCTCTCACCTCACGAGGTCGATGACTCGCTCTCGAGGAGCCGAACTGACGGGCTCGTCGTTGATCATGATGATCTCATCGCCTGGCAACAGCTTCCCCTCTGATGGACCGCCTACATACACACACAGACATGTGCAAACAGGCTGAAACAAACAGATGACACTGCAGAACGAGCGCTGCGTGAACCGTCTGAATAAATCAGTGCGGGATTATCTATCTTGCTGTCTGATTGGGATTCAGCAGCGATTGATTATCGAGACGCCTGATCAACGTGTGTGTCCGTGCAGTCGCTGGAGCTGACAGCTGTTACGAGTGAGGAAGCAGTGATTTGCAAATCAGCCACTAAACTAACAATGCTTGAAGTAAAAACAAACAGCACTAATTTAAGCTAATTTTCCCAACCGAGGTCGGATTTAGATGTTTGTGCAATCAGGCTGGAGGAGCCCACAGACTGCACGGTTTCCCTCTTAGCAGTCATTATGGGAAGTGTCACTGATAAGCACTCTTGAGACAGTGAGGAGGGATGAATGAGCTCAGGGTTTTCTTGGATTTCTGCACAACACCTGCACAGGCAAGGTGTACTTTATTAATTCTTTACATCGCTAACACCAGCTGTGTTTATAAATTTTGACACCTGAGTGGACGGGCCTTTGCATTACGGAATAATCTCTTGTTTTTGCTAATGCTTGGAAAATAAAGGTCGTTAAAGTTAAGGTCCTTACACACCGGGAGCGTTTTTTTCTTGCGATTATTTCGGACGTCAATTTTTTTTTTAGAAACCGTATCCTGTCAATACAAGCGTTCACATCAGCAATGTTTTCCCGTCCTGCAATATTGCGACATTTATTTTTGTCTGATTCACTGGTATATCCAACATGGCCGACCGGCTAATTGTTTACGTGTCGGAGAACAGAGTGCTTTTTGATAAAAAAACACAAATATTACAAAGATAACGACCTGAAGGACAACTTGTGGAGAGTCATAGCGTCGGATTTCTCATATGACGATGGCTTGTTTGCTTTAACAGTTTGCTAAACGTCTTTGTTTTAACTTTCATCTGTGCTAAGTAACTTTAGCTCGTAAGCTAACCTGTTCAGATACAACATACCATATGTATTTTCACTGTCTCAAACTCAATCTCGTTGCTGTCACAGCACCATTAGGTCTCGGTTGTTACCTTACGTTTATGGATTATAGTTTAATGTGCTTATCTGGTACTGGCCCCGACTCTGTAAATGCTATCATGACAGACAGTCATCTCAACACTAGCGTCTAATCAGAACTGAAAAACACTCAGTCTGCTGTTGTGTCAGTCTTCTCGCTTCCACCCTGGACGCATCTTTTTTTCCCCCCCAGAAAGTCGCAAAATCGCATCGCTTTTGATGTTTATAGTCAAATGCGTCAAAATTCACCTCCGAATATTTCATAATTTCGGGTTGTATATTTGCGCCGTTCCCGGTGTAAGGACCTTTAGTCCGTAGTAAGGTTGGAGGAATACTGTGCAAAATGTTAATAAAAACGTCCATGAAAGGAATGTCAAATTTTATCATGACTTACAAGGTCAGGTATTATAATGTGTTATAACTGTTAATAACAGTTGCATTGCATCATCTATGCGGTTATTGTCAGTGAGTTGTTAACAGTTATAACACATTATAATACCTGACCTTGTAAGTCATGATAAAATGCTTTATAATGTGTTATGATTGTTGCTATAAAGCATTATGATCATTTATGAGAGTTTATAACTATTCTTATACAGTGCTGTAACATGATTATAACGCATTATACATATATTTATAATGCGTTATAGAGATAGCATCAAATAAACCGCTACTCAATTTTCTTTACCTGGAGTGACAGAGCGGACCACCACCGGCTTCTCGCTGCCAGCCACAAAGCCGAATCCTAGAACCGGATCCCGTCTCATCTCGACCAGGCGAGGGGCGGGCGGGACTCCATCCAGGTGAACCTCCTCCAGCGAGCTGCTCGTGGACACTTGGCTGGAAAACAAACAAGAGGAGAAACAATCCACTCACAGTTCAGTTTTTTGACCTGCTTTTTTCATAATGATGTAAAAATGAGTCAGCAGATACTGCTGATAACCCGCTGCTTGTAAAAAGAGTGTATCCTAAAGGAAATGATTCATTGCACATTAAAATCCAATCAGGGAATTCATTTCTACGGAAGAAATACGTTTCTGCTCTGTAAGGAAAGGTTACACTTAGTATGATTGAATATAGCTATTCGATCAGCTGTGCATAAATCTGAATCTTGGCTCAGCTTTTGTCTTTTGGAACAATGTTTTGTGTTTAAGAGCCACTTATAAAAGAGAGAACAGGTCCTGCATTCAGAAAAGGCCGAAGATTTGTGACTTGGAGCCAATTTATCTCTGTTATACAAAGGACAGTTTGCAGACTATTCTTTAAATCAAGTCACACTTATTCATTCCTCAGGGATAAAAATATCTGTTTTTTGTGCATCTTGAGTACTATTATCATTGTAATAGACACCGTTTACTCGATTAGCCATTTTTTCCCCAGAGCAGCACTCAGATCACGCCATATGATGATGCCATACGCCAGAGGGTCAGGGGCACGTAGCCTGGCCAACAATATGGAACTAGAGGGGACTAGCTGCATGATACAACACAACATATTCTTTGTCTTTTGGGGGGTTATTCCTTTATTTTGGAGCGGATAGGGCACCAGAGGCTTAAATAAGACCTCTGCTTCTGAAAACCCCTCGAAGGCTGACCCCTAACCAGGCCAATGGTCTCCTCGCATCCTGCTGAAGAATAGAGGAAGATACCAAGCTAATCATGTTAATATTAGTGATCTCAATCCTGGATTGTGCCCATAGACTGGATATAGAATGGAAAGTGTCTGCCTCCTCGCTCTGAGAACAGCACCCTCTGGTGACGGGGCTGCAGTATACGTCATAAATCCCGCCTCTGACAGCAATCCCTATGGAGCTGTGGACAAACTTTGGAGATTTATTACACAGAATATAAATTTTTCTCCCCCCTGCTCGAGATGTTGACATGTAGTTACAGTAAGTCTGGTTTGTGCTCAAGTCCTCTTTTTTCTGTACAGCTCCATTTTTAAAAGTTTTTGGGGGTTCGTGTTTTCAATGATTGACACTTAGTACAGCCTATGGATGTAGGAAGATAGCGTAGCTCACCCAGGGGACACGCTGTTTGAGCCGAGCGTCATCACAGCGACTCTTGGCGACTCTCCTGCGGAATGCATACAACACTACTGCGCAATGTTGGTTTCAGAAAGTGGAGAAAAATCGCAGAAATACCGAGAGCTTTTTGGCTTCAAATCCCTATACTGGCAGAAGGCGGAACCAAGTTGTCCATAGTATATACAGTCTATGATTTTGCCTCAAAAGGGCATTTTCCATCCTTTAGTTAATCAGTAACCCTGATTTATCAGTGTCGCCATATTGCCGTTAATGTGTGTTAATATTGGTTAAAATTCCATATCAACCTTTTCTTTGCCTTAATGCAAGTCATCCAGGATGAGAGCAGCACTAAAATGCAAATGCCCCCACATTAAATTAAAGCTTCCCGCTCACTGAACCTCAGAGGCTTGTCTCGACCGGGACACCGAGTATGCAGAGTGCCTGTTAATTAAGAGGTGATACGCTTTCAGTGGGGTTAACTCATTCTCTCTCTCTGTCTCTTGTTTCCAGCCCTCCCGCTTTCACAGCTTAAAAGGCTCCCTTGGCAGCCGTTGCTCCCTCTCTGCACATTAAGTTCAGCGCTGAGTGTCTATTGTTACCTGGCTAAAGTCCATTCCATCTTCATCTGACTCAATCTGTCCAGTCAAGCGAGTGAATTTCCTGTCTAATCCATCCTAACCTTCACATCACATAGACATGGATAATTTGTTTGCAGGTTTTGGCATGAACCTTTAAGCTATTTATCTTTTCTTTTGCATGGTAGACCAATCTCCAGATTTTGCATATGCATATGACAACATATATCTTTAGCTTTGCCTAAATCTGCCCTGATAAAAAAAAAAAAAAAAAAAAACATGTTCAAACTGTCTGAGGTGGGATTTTATCTCCAACCAAACCGGATCAGACTCAGGGCTCTATTTTCGTTCGCGCCGGTGAGGCGGCGGAGGGCGGCGAGCCCCGCGCAGTTGTATTTTCGTCTGGCGGAGCCCAGCGTAAGGCCAATTTGGTATTTTCGTGGCATGAGCCGCACGGAGGCGAGCCGAGATCCGCCAAGCTGGGCGTGGTGGTGTGGCAGGGGGAGGTGTTGACAGAATCAGCTGGCGCAGTGACATTTTCGTGCTCGCCAACGGCGTGTAAAGTGCGCTGAAAGCTCGCCGATTCAAACCTGGTCAGCTTTCAGCGCAAGGCGGAACGCAGCTGGTCTAGTAGTATTTTGGTAGACCGGCGGCGTATCGACATACGACACTGATGCCTCACCGGCAGGTTTCCACAGTGTCAGGCACATTTCAGTGCATTAAATAATCATCATCAACTATTAATCTGAGTCAGCACATACATTTAGATCTATATAGATATATTCTGATCTATATCTGATCTGATGAGCGCGTTTGGCACGCGTTTGGACACACAACCTGACCGAATCAACACAGCTGAAACCGCATCAAATTAAATTAAATATCTAGTAAATAAACACACATGATGAAGTTAACAAGATATGTAATTCATCTCCCTCCTTTTCTTTCTTCCTCTTCCTCTTATTTCTCGCACAGCTCGACCTGGACACGTCTCCGTATCCTCTGTCTGTCTTGCTGCTGCTGCGACTGAACAGATGATTTGTTTCAGTGCTCAGATGCGTGATCTACTTTAAGCCGACATACGGATATTATAATATTCAGTTTTGTGAGCCAAATTTATTTTATATGCCAACATCTATGAAAGAAAGAGCCAGGCCACGGAGCGCGATGCGTCATTTACGCACAGATGGTTCCAATTTTAATGCCATTTTTGGAGTTTATGTTGTGATCTGTGCGCTCAACCCACCTTTGTCACGTGAGGTTTGAATATGAGCAACTTTATGTGAGTGTCTTTTTTGTGGAAAAGGGTGTTTGTCTTACCAGTGGGACCAACATTACGCACACTAAATCCATCTGTGCTCATATGAGAGAGTGTGGAGGACACTTGTTGAGGAGCTGCCCTCTGTCGCCATCTTGTGGCATTACTGTCTTAAGACATCTCTTGATCTCTTTGACTACTTCATGAAAATAGTAATACGCCTCGCCGGTGGCGGATTTAAAGGCAAGGAGAGGAGCTTATGTGATTGGTGAAAACAGGTCTCGGCTTTGTTAAAATCACTACACGCCCTTTCTCCGACTTATGGTGCTGGGAGGAGCTGAGTTAGGGAGGGGGGATACTTACGCCGGGCTGCGCGGCTCACCAAAATACCAAAATGTGCTTGGGAACGCCTTGTCAGCGCGGCGGATCTGATTGACGCTGCGCTTGCGGCAGATCTCCGGCGAGGCACCAAAATAGAGCCCTCAGTCTCCACCCCACCTCCAATTGAATTCCCTCCTAGCGCATTCTCACATTGATCTGTGTTGTGCATATGGTGCAGAAAACCTCAGACTAAATCTGTCTGTGATGAAGCGTGTTCCAATATGTGATGCAGGCTCATCTTCCTTGTCAGGGGCGCAGGGGTTTAATCCCCACGGGAGGGCAGAGCTTGGATGTCAGGGGGTCAGTGGAAAGCTGAATAGAAAAGGTCAAATCCTGGTTTTGAAGCTACTCGTGGGCGAATTGGAAAAGCATGCATGGATATGCAAACGTACAAGGATGTTTCAGGTCCTTTATGCATTTAAAAGTAGCTTTACTCTAATCACATTTGTTCTCTAACATAAACCCAATGTTGTCATGAGCCTCACAAAACAGGAGCTCAATTTTTAGTACTATTTATACAGTATGGCCCTTTATCACGTGCAAGCTGCAAAGGACTCCAGTGGATTGGTACTATAACTCAGAAAGATGTAATATAGTCTAGGACAAAGGATGGCACATTAGAGTTACATAACAAGCTTAAAAGACTTGGCTAACCTTGGCGACACGGCATCATGAACTTTTATCGAGGGAATAAGACGAGCCTGGCGACATTAAGACGGAGATTGTTCTTTGTCCTGTGATAATTATAATTTAAATGTGGTTTTTTTTTCAAGTTTATCAGTAGGACTCGATTATCTTTATCTTTTTATATCAGCCTTTAACTTTGGTATCAAGGTTGAATCAATGTTTAAATCTGTACTGTTTCAAAGGGGCAGCTACTTCTTAATAAATTAACTTTTAGGGTATGACGACAATTGTCTTTTTCACCATCAGCAGCCCTGCCCTACAGATCACAGAAAGCGATAGCACAGCTTTGAGGCTGTGTTGCCAACCTAGCGACTTTTCAGACACCCCTAGCGACTTATTTTCGAAAAAGTGCCTAGCGACAAATCTAGCGACTTTTTCTGGAGTTTAGAGACTCACAGATATCGATGTTACTCTTCTCAACAGGTAGCTGGTGTCCATCAAAAACACAGACACAGACACATATAGACACCCCGCAGGAGACTCCTCCTCCTCCCAGGGGGCGAAGGTCCCACCCTCCTTCACCTCTGATTGGCTAGAAGTGCTGGGCTTCGATTGGTTATTCCTAATGGCTGTGAAACGTCATCGTCTGTCAGGTTAGGGCAGTGGTTCTCAAATCCAGTCCTCGAGCCCCCCCCATCCTGCATGTTTTGGATGTTTCCCCGCTCCATCACACCTGATTCAAATGATCAGCTCGTTAGTAAGCCATCTCAGAGTTTGATAACGAGCTGATCATTTGAATCAGGTGTGTTGGAGCAGGGAAACATCCAAAACATGCAGGACGGGGGGGCTCGAGGACTGGATTTGAGAACCACTGGGTTAGGGTTAGGGTTAGGTTAAGGGTTAGGAGATTCAGAAGTGCGATAATGTTCTGTTCGATGTACAGAGCCGACAGCCTGCGTTTGGCTTGAGCGTGTGATGACGTTTCCAGTTTTTCTAGCCAATCAGAGGCGAAGGAGGCGGGACTTTCCCCTACCATCCAACAAAAAAAAAATTGCTCCTGGGGGTGGGGGTGGACGGTCAGCGGTAGGTTTGACTGAGAAATTATGCAAATTAGGTGATGATGTCATCTAGCGACTTCTAGCAACTTTTACGACAGCCACTAGCGACTTTCCTTACTGAGGAGTTGGCAACATTGCTTTTGGCGCAGACACTTGGGTTTTCTAGATCCTTTGTAAGGAAAACTGTGTTGACATTCGTGTGTGGAAGTGATTTAATTGTATATCTTTTTTTTTTGTGTGGAATTGTAAGGGATTGGGAGCTGCTCACCACTCATTTTGTTTTAACTGCTGTTTTGATTTCAGAAAGTGACATTTTTCCACTCTAGTTTAGAGTCTCCGTTTGTTGTGTTTATTTGTATTCTTGAGCAGCTCTTCACATCCCTCTGTTCCTACGTTAAACAGCACTACATTATATCTTTTTTGCAATAAATAACAATTTTTACATGTTTACCTTGTTTTGCTAGTGTCTCTGTGTGTGTGACTGTGCGGGGACCAGCTGCTGATTGGTCAAAGTCCGCAAGTTCAGTCTGGAAGGAGTGCCAGATCCAAGAGGCGGCCGATTGAAGCTAAGTTTTCAAAAACTTTTCCGGTCTGTTCCTGTTAGCGCAGCTACCTGTCCGATGTAGTTAATTCAATCAATGGCTTTCCTCGCTCTCCCTCTTTAATCTTTCTTTCTGTCACATAGAAATCCAATTGTGATACTCGCTCTGTGTCACCTCCTCTAAAGCCAGCAGCTTTTCTCAGAGAACAAAGCCACGTAACCAGAGCTGTCTGACTTGTCATATTAAACTCTCCCTTTATGAGGAGCGAGGGGGAGGATTTAATGTAGGGTGGGGAGGATGGGAAGTGTAAGATAAGGAGGTGAGGGAAGCAAACATGGCAGGAAGTTGAAAAAGAAAAGTGATAAAGAGGCAAAACAATAAAGAAAGGTACTCAGTTCATTTTATACTTACACTAAATTCTGATGTGAAGCCTCCCACACCTCCTGTCTCTGACCAGCTGACCTATCTTATAAAGCTAATAAAGCCTTAAACTTGACTCAAAGTGAAGACCTTTCACACCATTCACACAGACAGAGCATTCAGATTCAGCACAGTTTTCACACGGCCGGAATAACTGTGCTGCATGCAGAGCAGGCGATGACCGTCCAATCTGAGGATCTGCATGTTTACCTGACTGAAAGTTTCCGCTCGCAGGACAAACAAACTCAAACAACCGGCCCTGCATGCATGCATGCTAATTCACCCAAATGCTGAATACCTTTTGTGAGTTCATCCAAGGTTGTATTTGTGAGGTCAAGCTAAACCCAGCTACTTTTCATCCACTGTAATTTCAGAATCTTTGTTGGGGCTGAAACAACACATCAAAAATGACTCCTGGTTTCAAACGGCAGCTTGCTGGATTAAAAAAAAAAAAGAGCTGCCAAGCAGAAAGCCCCAAAGGCTGCCTAGTAAAGTCATTCATGCTGCCACTCTAATGTGGTTCTGCTGCACTGCTGACTGTCATCAAAAGGCTGCCTTACTGCAGGAAGCTGAAACACAACTGTTTGAAAGTTGCACTGGCTGAAACGATAGGAATTTTTATCGATAATCGCGCAACCTGCTGTGTGATTGAGATGTAAATGCACATTTCTCATAAGGCATTAACCACTCAGGCATGATTAGACCACATGCTGGTGAATACATACGTGGTGAGGCAGTCCCGTCCCTCCCTGCTGATGTTCATACTCTCCCAGCTGTATGGAGGCCCCTGCAGTCCACTCCAGGAGCCGGGGCCAGGGGGCGGCCAGCCGGACATTTTGTTCTTATGGCTGAAACATAAAAGGAAAAGCAAGTCAGCCTAATGAACATCTCTCTGTCAACTCAGTGTGAGGGATTCTCTGTCATTCAGAGAGACATTTGAGTTTATGGCACCATAACGTTAAGTAGAGTATCATGTCGTATCACACAGTACTACGAATCATATCTGAATGCATCACATCTCATCTAATTGCATTGTATCACATCATACCAAATCGCACCACATGGGAGCATGTATTGTAACTAGGGCCCGACCGATTAGTTGGTGAGCTGATAAAATTGGCCAATTTTAGCCCATTTGAGACTAATCGTTAATTGGCCAAAACTCGACAATTTTCGCCGATATTTTAAGAAATAAAATGCGGAGAATAAGATTTGGTTTCACTTCGAAAATGTTGAATGTTTAGTTGAAAACGCTTTTCTGGTCCGGGTTTGATCAGTCGGTCTTCCTGTGACGTGAAGAGCAGTAACCTACAGTATGTCTACAGTATATAGTATACTGTAGATATCTACTGTACATATATATATTTTACAACTTCATAAAAAAATTGTAAAAAACGACAGATTAATCGGTAATCAGATTTTCCCCCCCTAATAATCGGCATCAGTCCCAAAAAATCCATATCAGTCGGGCCCTAGTTGTAACTTATCGAATTGTATCATATAGTACTGCATCATACTTTCGCTTGTCATACTATATCTAATTGTATTGTATGGTGTAATGGTAATGTAACATCAATCAAATTATATTGTATCATTGTATCATAAAATATCATGTCAGATAGTATTAAGTGTGTTATATCATACTCATATTGCATAGATTTATATCATATAGTATTAAATCTGTCTTGTTTCATGTTGTTTTCTCTGGTGTTGTAATATCTATAAAAATCTTAATGCATTATAACACATACTGACGTATTATATCATATTGTATTATTTCCTGTAGCATCATGTCATGTACTATCAAATTATAATGTGATATAATGTAAAATATCCAATATCCTATACTATCCCTTCAAATCCTTGTCTGTTTAGTGGTAGCTACTATATTTTATTGCACCATATCGAGTTACATCATATCACATCATATATCATACTATTTAGAGGTGCAAACTGATTACATTTAAACATTAAACCTTCAGACTTCAACCATAGTTTGACTATGTAAAGAGAAAAAGAAGATTTAGCACACTCCAAACCAGAACTTTTTCTTCTTAAATGATTATGCAGAACATGTCTCGTCTGTCTCTGTCCTTTTTAAAGTCACTTTCTTTCAAATTAGAATGACAGGTGAATCTTAAAGTCTCTTTTTCCCCTCTCTCTGGATGGAAACACTCTGTGCAGCTCTGGTTTTGATCCCTCTTAGTCCAATTAGAGAGACTTCTTGTCTCTCAGTGTGTGGCTTGCGGTGTGAGATAGCACAGCTTAGTGCAATCAACCGCAGTCAAATAACAGCTAATCGGGTCTGCAGATGGGCAATCAATGGCCGCATGTATGTAGCTCTGTGAAAAGTATGCACGCATGAATGGAAAAGCACTGATTTGAAGGTGACTAGAGATTTTCAGCTGTTATTGAGGATTTCAGGAGAGCGTCACTGGAGGGACGGAGATAGGAGTGTAATATATGAATGAAAGTCTGTCCTCTAGTAAAGATACAGCACACCATCCTCCTGAATTAACCGTTAAAAATTCAAGTCTCAATTCGCAGCCCATAAGGAGCCCATCCCATAACTCTCCACAAAAATAATCACATCTGCAATGAAAGATCATCAAGGCAGAGAAATGCAACTGAATTCGAGCGTCTTCATTCTCCCCCGTTTGATTTATTCTCAAGAACACTTCCTCCTGCAGCCATAAACCACGATTATGACTTCCCTGTCCTGACCTCAACTCTGTGATGCGCAGACACACTAACAACGGAGACGATCAACCGCATTTCAGTGCCAAAATCTCGACTCGTTTTCTATTACTCAGCATATTCTGCACAGAAGGACGTCACATGTCTGAGCTGCAGCATTAACGCGGAGGAGCTGAGGCCCTGACTGATGAGTGAGTGCAGATGGAGATGTAAAAAACAGAAGGAAAGGAAGCGTACTAGATGAGGACGTCACCGCCATAGGAATCCAGCTGGTCGATTCCCATATCGTGCTGCTGGTGGGTTGAATTCATCAGGCAGTTATGTCATAGCTTGCAACATAACAAAAAAAACAAAAAAAAAACAAAAGCGTCCTCATATGAAAGAGCATAAACTCTAGTCAAGAAGTGGACATAGTTTTAAAACTCCCAGTAACACCAAGTGCAAATTCAAGTCATCCTTTGAACCAATAGAGCAAAATTCAACACTCTGGGGCTTTTGAGTTTAACGCCTCTTGATTCTGTAGCCATCCACAGATTCCTGCCAGACGCTTGTTTTTCTGCTGATCTTCAATCATCTGAAAGAAAAACAACTCCGCCGCCACCTCAGAATCCCAATCAGAGGCTCTTATGCTCAAAACATACAGAAGCCGCGGCGCTAACGCCTTTGACGATCTCCAGAGTGCATCCAGACATTCATCTGTGTTTGTCATTGTGCTCCTGCGGAGAGCAGCTTTGGTCCAAACTGAACTAAACTGGCGTGGCCTCGCCTCCTTTATCCCATAATCCCTCTCATCACAGAGAAAACAAATCCACGCTGTGTGTGTGTGTGAGTAAGGATGAGTATTTTATGTGTGTGTATTACAGATAGGGAGAGAAAATGAGAGGGGAGACAGCAGTGTGTGCGACTGTGCATGTGTGTGTGAGGAGTAAGAGGATTTTCAGAGAGCGACCATGTGCATGGACACCGCAGCATCTCAGAGCCGGAGTCTCAAAGCAGGAAGCATAACTGACTCTTGAGTTTACCTGGGCCGCATTAATTTTTCGCCATCTCCAAACAAAAGCAGCTATTACCTTTGCTCGCCATTTGAGAGAGGATGGGGTAAACAAATCTGTCGGAAATGACTATTAGTTTGTAGGGTTGTTGTCCGCTCACTCAAGACCATCACAAAACTGTGAGTCACAGGTTGGGCGTCCAACTTGAGCAAATTTGTTTAGGGGCTTCGCATCCTCCCCTTAAAGTTGAAATCGGTTACCTTCACTGTGCGGCCTCCTCCCATGAAAGGCTGGATATGTTGCTAAATGCTAAATAAGTGAATGCATGTGGGTGACAAAACCTGCAACGCAACATCCCAGTTGGTGAAATGGGCGGAAGTATCTGCAGCTTTGAGCTCCACTCTCAGGACAACCAAGTTTCAATTTAACAAGATTGCGTTTGAGTGCATATTCATGTGCCTGTCCAACAATAAAAGTGAGGGAGGTTTGGCTGGAGCCCAGCAGCCCCAATCTTCTATCGATGCAGATCTGTGTCGATACATACTTACCGGGCTGAAGCACAATAAATCAAATCAGGGAGATTTATTAAAATCCCTCCAACACTTAAACCATCCCGTATAATCTGCCTCACTCTGAGATGTGTTACATTAAAGAATCGGTTTCATTCATGGGGTCTTTAAATTCTATCCTCTAAAAGCTTTAAATATGATGACAATCCATCCAATTAGAGTAAAGATAAGCACCCTGAAATTTAGCTTGAGGAGAGCCTGAATTCAGGCCGCTATGTTCACCATCCCTAATAATCAAATCCAGACTCGTTTTCCAGCTGACTGTTTGACCTGACATGAAGACGAGACGGCGCAGTCCTATTTCTTCACCTGATGGCTCAGACTTCTCTTCCTGATTTTTATTCTCTGGCTGCATTTTCTCTAAAAGGTGACTGACTGACTGAGGAGTCACACAAACACTGCTAAAATAAAGTCTGACTCCTCTGTGAACTCCATTTCTGTCTGACTGATGTAGCTCAAACTTATGTTGTCATGAGGCCTTTCCCCCTGCTTCCCCATGTTTGATGTCAGTCCCCTCCATAAACTAAGGATCCGTAAATCTGCATTCAAAGGAAGCAGCGGTGCGCTTTGTTCAGACTTGGTTGACAGGCCAGTGTACTGACTTGAAAATGACTTCTTTGAAACACAAACTCAACAGAGATCTCATTCTTCTTTCCCACAAAAAAGGACAATTTTCAAGAAGTTGGAACAAAATGGGTTTATAAATGCTCTTGAAATTAAATAGTGTTGTAAAAGAAGGCAGGCTCATACTCACGGACATTTTCATACTTTAGACCAATGGAAGTGTCACCATATGGGCAGCTCAATTCTAGCAGCATGTGAATACAGGCAACGGCTGAAGTTCCATGTGACGTCCTCCATGATACTGTTGCTAGGATACAGACTCAAGAACCTGAGGTCCTTGTAATACTATCAGGAGACTTCAGCCATGTCAAAATTTCCGAGCTCCGAGTCAGAAATTCATCTGGAATTCCCCCCTGAAGTCAGATTTCCGACTCAGAAAGACGGACGATCCTCCTCACCAACCCCGAATTTACGACAACATCATACTCCAATATGGCAGCGCAGTGCATCAACAGTAAAGAGTAACAGTTAAAGCTCTGGTAATGTTTTATTTATTAGCATTTCTGTTTTGTTTTTGTTAAATTAAATAAGTGGTATTTGTTGTGATGCCCAACGTCTAACTGTGAACACGGTGCTATGGTGTTTGTAAGGGTAAAATTCTGTGTTATGCGTTGTTTACATCTGGAATTGTTAACAACTAACAACCGCTGACAACAGCTAACAGAAGCTGACAATTGTAAACAACATCTAACAACGGGTAACTGTAGGCATCCATCTTGGTTTTTCGACTTGTTAACTGGAACGCCGTCAACTCGGGAATAATGTCATTCCCAGCCCCGACATCTGACTTCCGAGGTAACTTGAACGCTGCATTAGTAAAAACAAATGGCAGACCAAAGCCCTTATATAGAGGATTTCTGTGTTTTGATCTTGCAGAGCCGTGCACTGTACTTTATTTCATCTTTATTGATGGGCTTTTCCCTAAAAAGGACTCTCATGAGGCTCATTGAAAAGTCATTTTCACGTTGTAATTACAGGTATTGATCTTCTCTGTCTTTTCATTAAACCTCTAAAAGCATAAACGGATCCAGTGGATAGAGGCATAAACGTTTGCATAAGAGCAGTCACAGCGAGAGGGGGAAACTGCTTCAACCAGTGCAACATCATGGCCACACATAACTCCCCATGGACCAATAAGTGCCCATCCTCAGTGAGAACCAAACGCTGGTGGCGACTGTATCTTGGATGGAAGCTGTTTGCTGCATCGTATGTCAAACCTCCCAATCACAGAAAGCTCTGACGCCAGCTGGCTCAAACCTCCCCGCTCAGCTACCACATACTTCAGTCAGCAAGAACACAAACACAGCCTCAAACACTCAGCTCCGGGTGCATGTCAACAAATGTTTAATTTCACATTTACCGCAGCTCCGGTTTGGGTTTTTACTGCGAAGTGAAGCGATCCAAAAAAAGGGTTCAGGCGAGGTAGCATCTATAGGAGCACAAACAAAAAAAGCCCATCAGAGTAGATTAGAAACCCTCTCTCTGGCATTTATTAGATTTTATCAGCAAATACGTCCGTTATGGCTTTCAAAGAGAAATCTGTGGTTCAATAGCCGACTGCAAAATGTTTTTATGTCTCGTCTCAAGCGAAGGCAGCAGAATTTTAATGGATGCATTGCCAGTTATTTGTACAAGCATGAAAATTGATGAACATGGTTTCAATTTCCAAAAGTTCAATTTGTTTGTCATTCTTGGTTTTATACCTTTCTATTTTGAAGATATTTAGGTTTTCAGTTTGTTACTAGACAGATATTTCTCCACTTTTTTTTTGCTCCCAAAATTCAAGAATATGACTAATCTCTGGTTCAAACTGTCCTACTGAACGCCAACATTAGCCAGCCTCTGTATGGCTGTCTCCTCAAAGCAGAATCAAGAGACAAAAAAAGAGGGAACTGGGGCATTTGGGCATTGACCTTTTTCTTGGCTCACATTTTCAGTTCCGAATTTTAATTGTAGTTTGAACAAGAGGGGGAATTTTCCAAAACCTAGCCTTGGGATTCAGGTCATTGAGAGGGCATTTTCCCCCAAATTTCTGGCTTCAGGGAATTTTATCCGACTTTCCTCGTTTGAAAAGACCACACAGAAACTCAAACTGGGACATTAAACCCTTTAAAAACCCTTAAGATCTTTATCTGGACTGACTGAATTTGCACAAAAGGCACAAGAAAAGCTCTCTGAAGATGTTTTAGCCTACATTATGACAATGTTTACAACAGCCAGAAGCATTAAACCCCACTCCCTGTGCCAATTCTTACCACTTTACACACTACAGGATAACTGGGGTAATCTAAGCCTGGGCACGAATCTACGGTAGACTTGTATTCATCTTTATCAAAGCTCAGCTGCTGCATACTGAGGACCTCATCCAGCATACAAGGACATGTAGGTTAAGTGGTGGGTGGAGGGGTGTGAAATATACATGGAAAATGTAAATCAGGGTTTGGGTCACTTACTCCTCAGTTTATTCATTTCTACATGTCAGCTGAGTCTGCATTAAAGAGAAAAGTGTTCACTCTCAGTCCTCCCTTTATAGACTGATATAATGACTTAAGTGCTTCAGAAAAAATCTACTCCAGTCGGAAATATTTCAGCTCCAGGGATTTCAGATGAGACTTGCAGAGACTTCACACTTATCTCCCGAACACGCAAAGCTTAAAAACTAAAAACGAGGAGAGGGGGAAAAATCTGTAAAACTTCACAATTATCCTGAAGTAACTCCCAGAGTGCGTGTTTAAGGATTGTATCATCTTCAAACTCAGCAGGAGGCTCTGTGGAAACACTCAGACTTGGGTTTGAAGCGGCAGAAAACAGAAAAGCGGGGGGGAGGAGGTTTGTTTGTTGAAGTCGTATCTTAAAAGTAGAATAGGGGAGCAACAGAGGATATACACGTTATTGATGGAGAGGCCATGTCGGCTTTGAGATAGCAGAGCGTAGATCGGGTGCGTGTCACTCTGTGAAATACTGTGCAATGACTTGTCAGCAGAAAGCCCGGTTTAGACAAAGGATGTACGGTAGAGTTCAAGGCAGGGTGATATTTCATTGTGAATTAAAGCACATCACGTCAAGAGATGGAGAAATGTATATGGAGAAAGAAAATTGACTTATAACAGAAAATAAAAGACTAACTTTGGCTAAAGAGAGGTCACTCAAAAGACCACCATCTTTGTATCATTGAAGGCGCTCACTTTCAAAACTTCCACAAACAAGTGGACGATTGCTCATTTGTCCAACAGCTTGTTCCCCAAAAACTTCCTTTTATAAAACCCGACTGAAACGCCTGACTGCTTCCCAACTGCTCCTGATTCACTTGTTGGTTTGGTGACTGCTGGTGCTGTCCATGGTTCTGAATCTGTGTGGGATTTACAGCCTGTTCTCTGACACGCTACGAAGTCTGTCTCTCTCCCACGGCCATACAAACATACACACTGAGTATTCTTGTTATATTAGATTTGAAGGACCCCCACTGACAAGATAGTCAGGTTTCTACAAAGTTGGTTTAGGTCATATAAACCCTAACTCCTGATCTTTGACGGAAAGTTGTCACTTCTGTCAATCCAAGACTTGTCTTATATTTAGGGCTGTTAAAGGTCCGTACACACCAGGAGTGTTTTTTTTTCGTGCGATTATTTCGGACGTCAATATTTTTTTTTGCACCCATATCCTGTCAATACAAGTGTTCACATCAGCAATGTTTTCCCGTCTAGCGGCATTTATTTTTGTATCACGGTAGAATTTTCTAAAGTTCCACATACTGTGTGTCCAATTCTGACCAATCAGATTTCGTGTCGTTGTGACGTCTGATTCACCGGTATATCCAACATGGCCGACCGGCTGATTGTTTATGTGTCGGAGAACAGAGTTCTTTTTGATAAAAGACACAAACATTACAAAGATAACGACCTGAAGGACAACTTGTGGAGAGTCATAGCGTCAGATTTCTCATATGACGATGGTTTGTGTGCTTTAACAGTTTGTTAAACGTCTTTGTTTTAACTTTCATCTGTGCTAAGTAACTTTAGCTCGTAAGCTAACCTGTTCAGATACAACATACCATATGTATTTTCACTGTCTCAAACTCAATCACAGCGTTGCTGTCACAGAACCATTAGGTCTCGGTTGTTACCTTACGTTTATGGATTATAGTTTAATGTGCTTATCCGGTACTGGCCCCGACTCAGTACATGCTATCATGACAGACAGACATCTCAACACGAGTGTCTAATCAGAACTGAAAAACAGTCAGTCTGCTGTTGTGTCAGACTTCTGACACGACAGTGGGACGTGTCTTTTTTTCCCCCGAGAAAGTCGCAAAATCGAATGCGCTTAATGTGTATAGTCAGGCGCGTCAAAATTCGCCTCTGAATATTTCGAAATTTTGCGTTGTATATTTGCGTCATTCCCGATGTGTAAGGACCTTAAAGGGAAAAAAAAGTTTTCACAGAGGGCTTTAAGAATGAGAATTGATATTTTCCCATTTTCTCAACTTGATCATTTAAAATGTATGAACAAAATCAATTCCCTGCCCCATAAATACCATGTAATTGATCAATTATAAGAGACCTCCTGTATGGGTTTCGCATGTTTCTTCTACTGCAGAATTAAGTGAATTTGTGCTGTTGCCTCTAGAAGAAGATTGCCCGATTTGGCATCGATCTTTCACAAGAGATTTCCTAATTGACCGCTAATGGAGCTTTTTCACTCTAATCTACACTCACAAAGCCATCTCCTCATCTCCTTATTACCCAATCAGCATTGTCTTTCTTCTTCACTCATTGTCTTTTCCCTGTATTGTAGTAAGCGTGACCCCTTCACATTAAGCCCTCTCGTTGCCCTCACTCTACATGATGTCAGTCGGATATCTTACTCCGTTCTGGCGCTGATGTGTCACTTTAAATTTCCTAATTTGCTTGACATGCAGCTTCTTTTCCCCTCTGTCTTCCACATCATTAATGTTCCAAGTTAACGCACCCTTAGCTTCTAGCGAGGCAGCTCCAACCATCGCCCGATCCTCTCCTCACCCTTCTCTTCATTCGCTGCCTTTCTTTCACCCTCTCACTCATTCACTCAGTCTTCCTCTGCGACTTTGCTCTGTTCATAAATGAAACATCGCTGCATGTTGTTAAAAAAGTCGCCCTGGAAGTGCTTTCGCTTTATTTAGCGGTACGAGATGAAGACAACATGCTTTGGCTCTCAGAGTTTTTCTCTCAGGCGAGCGTGCGCTTGTCGACACATGCACGGAAAGATGCGGATGCAGATTTCTTTTTTTATGTAACGCCTTGAAGATTCTGCATGCTGGCTGAACTTCTTGCAGAGTGAGGATGTTTGTATAGAAGGCGTAATGGAAAAAGACATGATTCAAAAACTGTGAGGGTTTCATGCAGCAGAGGCTACAGAACGACCTCATCGCAAGGAGGTTCTCTCAATGCAATAAAAACATACTTAAAACCATTTTTAACTTCATTTTAACACAATCAATCCTTCATTTTTCAAGAACATTTAGATTTCTTAAACTAAAACTTCCACTGGTTTTATCTAAGATCCTGATAGAAAGCCTATAATCAAGACTCTACTGATACTTTGTTTTGCTTTTTTAGGACTTTGTGTTTGTCTTTCGATCAAAAATGGACGTATTTCTCTCGAAATAATTTCAATAATGTCCAAAGAATGAATAAATTAGCTAACAAACGCAGGGAAAAACCTGTGCAACCTGTCCAAAAAATCAGTCAAACATCATTTTTTTCTTTCCAACTGCTGACTCATCGAGTAGAGGGTGTCCACAGATCCACAACCCTCTTTTTAACCGCTGCTCCTTTCTCAAAAGTTATTGGCTCGAATGGAACGACGTCATGATCGAGTATCAAACGTGAATCACATGTTTTTTTAGTAATTGATAAAAATGTCGTCTTGAATTTGAAATAAATGTAAATGTGACAGGCTCCGTTTATGGCATTATTCCCCAATCCATTTTTCCATGACAGTCTGCAATGAATATCGAATCTTGGTCAAGCTAATGCTAACATTGGCTTGTCGGAAGTCGGGAATGCGCAAAACTCAATTCCATTGAAGTTGGGAAATTGTGATAAACGTAAATAAAAACAGAATACAATGATTTGCAAATCATTTTCAACCTATATTCAACTGAATACACTACAAAGACAAGATATTTCATGTTCAAACTCATAAACTTTACTTATGTTTTTTTGCAAATAATAATTAACTCAGAATTTCATGCAAATCATATATTCGTTTTCTGTTTTAATAACGTTTATCACAATTTTACAACTTCAGTGGAATTGGGTTATGTACTACTGTAGTGAATGAAACTGAACTGAAAATGTGATGACAAATAATGTTCATGAGATTGCACATGAAAATATACGAGAAAAACATGAAATATCACATTAATCCTGCACTGCAGACACATACTGTTGCATTCAGGGGTCAAAATCATCGCCAAGGAATGAATAGTATCAAAGCAAGGTCAATCCCTATGATATTGGGATAATATAAGTTGATATTTTGGTAGAATGAACCCAAAATATTATAGGTAGGCAGACAATACATAAAAAGATGATAAGCAAAAAATTGTAAAATGAATGAAATCTAGGTTCATATTGAAATATGTGACTGTGGGCACTTATTTATATGTCAAATAAATCTCAAATCCTTAAAAGGAAGTGGGCAGAGTCCCAAGAAATGAACACTTTCTTCACAAATTTTGGTTAGATAATAATATGTGACTGCGGTCACTTATTGATCTATTAACTTGTTTATTAAATTAAATTTCTGTTCACAAAAACAGATGCGGTTAAAAAGAGGGTTGTGGGTCTGTCACGCAATGACCTACTCTGTCCAGCAGGGGCACAAAGAGGGTTGTGGATCTGTTACAGTTGTGGATCTGCTTGGCTCTCCGGCTCTACAGACATGTACTATTGGAATCAACCATGAAGACAAGATAAAAAAATATCCTGGGACTAAAAGGTCTTGGAGATGCATCATGTCCACGCTTCACGTAGCACCATTCATCCAGGCAACTTAACTCGACATGTTTGTCTTCCCTTTTGACTCACCCGCATTGCTAAATTGACGCAATGAGTCACAGCTTTGTCATGATTGCCGGTACATGTTCGAGTTGTCATGTCGCATAGTGCAGGAATGTGAGTCTTTCTTTTAAACGAACTGTCTCCATTATGATAAACACTGAGCTGTGTTTTAGCTTATTAGCCGGATGATGGCCTCTAGAGATAAAACTCCTTACAGTCTCGAGCTCTAATGTGGAAATATGCCAACAGCCTGTGATGACATAATCAATGAAACGCCAATAATAAAAAGCCTCTCTCTGACATACTGTAGATACCCAAAAATGTGACCACGGAGAGCTCTTCATCAGCTCTCCTGGCTGGAAATACTGATTTCCAACCCCGATGCTGCAGCGAAACTAATGCATAATCTTTCAATCTACACACAGCATTACACAAGCAGAAACACATGTCAGGGTTATGTCGATAAGTCCACAGTCAGCTGTATCAATCAGAGCTGTCCGAGCTGGTTAAACCTCCAGCCCCTGCGTCCTCATTTTCCTGTACGCCCTTCCGAGGTCCTGGGTTCGCACTCTGGCTTTATCGTATTGGTTTTTAAGGACAAGAGGTGACCATATGTGGACCAGTGGGTGCCATTCACAAAGAGGACAGGGCAAGCTTGTAATCAAATGTATGCAATCGACATCCACAGGTTGTGTGTTTCCAACATAAAGAGTTCCTGTGAGATATCTAAAGACTCTAAAGGTCTCCTGTCTGTTTCCTCTCTCCTCTTCCTGTCACACAGTCTCCGAGTTCACCAGACTAGAACCACACACAACCAGTCCCCGCAATCCAAGCAGACTTTTTCACAGGCTGCTGACCAGACTTCACTGTAGCAAAGAAAAGACACTCACAAATACTTATTCTCGCCTCCACTGCGCAGGAAAACGGCGTTCAAGGATTCAAGACAAGGTCGTGTTTCTCCTGAAATTGGAAGATTTTAATCAAGGGAAGAGTTGGTCTGAGGGCAGCAGGTGCTTCTACAAATATTCATTTATATTTGAAAAGATAATATCTTACGAAACCTCGAAATCCCAGCGGGAAAGTTAAAGTTTTATAGGATCTGGCAGGGAATACAAGCGTATGAGAAGAGAATACAAATAAGGCTGCAAGCACAATGAGAGGAGTCAGTTTCATCGATTTCAAAGATTTGCCGAGACACCTGATGGGTGGTTCAAATGTCGGACTTTTCATGATTTTAATCAGCGAATCAAAGAGGAATGAATGATTTGGGATTAACCTCGCCTTGTGGCCCGACCATTTTCACCCTTTATCCTTAAATACATCCAAATAAAAAAGGCGAACTCAGTGCCAACAACATGAGGAAAAAGAAAAATACCCAGCCCTCTGTCTTGTACCTCTCTTGTTTCTTAAACCAGTCTCGGTGTGATGCACTGTTACTCTCCATTGTACCTGTATCAGCAGCAGTCCCGCCTCACTTTACAGTGTTGCTGTTCAACCTTTTACAGCGCAGCAGTCCACCTCTGTGGGACAACACAGTCCACAGCTCAGCACAACACACGCTATTGATTATCTGTAAATGCCACACAAAGGGCAGAGAATACACGGCGCAGCAGAGCCACATTTAGATAATGCTTTTGAAAGGGAAGCATGCTGATTGGCTGTTTCTGTCGGATCAATGAATTCTGCATTTAAATTAAAGCTGCACTGAGGCAACTTTTGATCCCAGTATTGAAACTATAGCATGTTTATCACACAACCCCAATCCCAATAAACTGGGGTCTTATCATAAACAGATTCAGGTGGTTTGCAAATCATTCAGGGTCTATTCCCGACTCAACTGAAAAATGGTGCAAAGATAACATTTAATTTTGCAAATACATGAGCTCTTTTTAAACTGAACGCACGCAACATATTCAGGGTTCCTACACATTTGGAAAATCAAAATTCCATACTTTTTCATACCCTAATTTTTCAGACTTATCTGTGCTTTTTTTTTAGAGAATATGCCACATCTGAGTAAATATACCAGTGTATCATATTTCACATCATGTTTAGTTAGGACCATGGGGAAAAAGCCCCAAGGCACTTTTGTTATACCGTGATTTTTTTCTTATTCCTCTTCCGAAAAAATTTCGATGCCATACTATCTCTACAGCTTAAAGAGTTGTAGGAAAAATTGCACATTGTGCGGTTTGATCGGAACGGTGTGCTATTACTTTTCTCTAATATATCTATATATAGTTTTTTGCACACACAGACTCACACAGGGGTGGAGGAGGGTCATGGGGCAACAGACTAGGCATACTACTTATTAATCAGGTAAAAGAGGCGGAATATTTTTGAAATGTTTCCTCTGACACAAACTGTGCTAGGCTCAGCATAAAACACGATCCAGATTGGTGAAATTACTTTTGGAAATAGCTAATTTTTAGAAAATAATATTTCAGAACAGGGTTAATAGTCTGAAAACGTAAATATTTCTATTTCTATTTATTTATTTTTAAAAATGGGAACCGTACATATTGATGAACATTTACATGTAAATATGTGGGATTATCGCCAAATGGCTAATTTCCATTGGCAGGTTGATGTTAAACATAAAAGCAATAGTGTTAAAAGTACAAACAACATGACTAAGATAGTAAAACAAAGCACTAACAACATGCACATAATATACATAAACACATACACAGACCAAAAAAACTAGGTGATCAATAGTAAGGGGACCAAAAAGATTAAAAGAGTATTGTAAAGTGCTGATTAGAGAGTCATGTGCGAAATTGCACAATGCCCATAGCATACGACTGTACTTGCATATGTGTGTCTAAAATTGCACATGGTTTGTATACATAAATGTATTATGTATACCCTTTAGTAACAAATTTGCATACATGAATGAGAATATGTACGCCAGATCAAATTAAGAGTGGTACCCCAAAGCAATTAGCCAATTAGCCAATAAAATTTCTCAATACATTATTTTTTATTTTCCATACTTTTTAATACCTGGAAATTAACCAAATTTATTTCCATTCATTTTCATACTAGCCACATGACTGAGGAGAGGTTCAACACTTTGTAATAGACTGCGTGAGCAAACTGTTCGACAATTTCACATTTTTTACACTTCGTCAAAAACGGATGTGACTCTGTTATTGTGGAATTTATTGTGAAAAGGCTCAAAATAACAACTGTCCTGCAGTCCGAGAATTTAAAATTGGACATTCGTCTTGGAAATCATGGACGCCACGTTGTCATTCAAAAGCATCCCTGATGGTACTGGGATGCATGAAAAACCTGCTACATGGCTAGTGCACAAATCTGTGAAAGCTGAACCATACATAGAGGTTTTGGAACAATTAATGAGTCAAACCAGTGGATCCAATTCCAACAGATCACCTTGTTTTCCCTGACTTTGAGCTTACAACATCTCTTTCCTTTCCCTTAATTCCTGTCTATATTTTGGCTATGGAGCAGTAGCTTTAATCGAGGTCATGCCTATGGGAAGTTTCACTACCAGTTAGTTTCTGGTTGGTTGACTTTACTTGCGTGATGCTATGACGACTGAGCATTGACTCCCCCTCCGTGGATGTGGTTCAGGTCAATCGGAAAGGTTAAAGAGCAGATCTGCTTGCGGTGTGTTAAAAAAAGAGAAGCGCAGCGTGTGAGTATACACTAAATACACTCGAGTGACTGCTTTTTATCACAGCCGGCATTCAGCTCGAATCAAAACACACACTCACACGGGCTGATGTGAACATCTGCAACACTGAGGAATAATTCTGCGGGCTAAAAATACCGCGGCAGAACAAGTGCTGCTTAACGCTCTTTAAATAAGATTACACAGGAGGAGGATGATCGCTGGGTTGAATAAGAAATACACTCACATCTTGTTTCTTAAATCACAGTGTCTGAATGGAAAAATCTCAGTATATGAAAAGTCCAGCTGGGTTGAATATGCAATGATAACACGTTGCAACTTTGAGGAAAGTTTTAAAAGCACTTGAAGAAATTATACATCAGAACTTTGTTCTATAATAAGGTCGATATCAGGGATATGCAAAGTAGAGAGCTTGAGTCAGAGTGGGGTCAGCCTAGCCGAACAAACAAGGAGGGAACTAGCCTCTGTAAAATTTAGCATAATCTGTCTAATCTAAAAGGACCACCCAGGTGTTCATACAGTGACGCATATTGAAGGTAGTGATCTCGAATTTGTTGCCAGCCTGAGAGCCAGACAAATCTGCAGGCTCATGTTTCATTTGCTCAGGCTCTGTTACATTTGGCTCCCTCCTGTTCTGACACATTTTAATCTGGCCTGATTTCAGTCAATCACAACACTTATACAATAGGCGGTGTGTGCGCTTAACATGAGGACTGAGGGGCATTTTTATGAACAACTATGGAGGTTTTCCCCAATCAGAATTCCCTGTTACGTCAGTGTTCAGCCATCTGGAGCCTGTTGAATCACCTCTGAATAAGTTACGTCTTTGTTTGATTGGGGGGGGGTGAAACAGCATCATTGTTGAGCATTGTTGATGTGGCTTAGCTCCCTTCCAACTGGGTCTTGACAGCTGGAAACCACGAAGCTGTGCGCCACTTCCAGCCTTTGGTTCATAAATTGGTCTTCTTTACGATCTCAAATGAAAACTGATATTACAATTCTGAATCCATATCATATAAGAAAAGGGCTTTTGTTACATTACTTTGGAGTATGTTTGCGGGACATCTGATTTCATATGACAAACCCATAGATATCATCATCACTAGATCCTGCACAGGCGGCTTTCAGTTTCTATGGTCCCCGGTTGTGGAACAGCCTGCCGGAGAGCCTCAGGGCCGCAGAGACTGTTGATGCTTTTAAGAAGAGGCTTTTCACTAATTGCCTTTTTATATTTCTCTTATTGGAAATTTTCATTTTAATGGAAGTTCTTAATGTTTATTTTATGTCATTCTACTAATTAACTCCCATCTTAGAGGTTTTTACTTCTTTTACCTCTTTTACATGGTAAAGAGCTCTTGATTATCTATTAATTTAATATTATTCTCTTGTTTTAGTCCATCAGGTTTTAGTCTTTCTTTTCACCATTTCATTTTTTATCTTTTTATCTCCAGTGTTTCCCAGAGGTAGCTCTTTCCTTATGTAATGTCTCTGTGTCAGGCCATGTCTCTTTAACGATATATCTTAAATTCTCACACTGTGTGCGCCTGTGTGTGTTTATGTGTGGGTGGGAGGTTTGGGTTGTATTGCTGTTAATTGTTGTTTTTAGCCTCTGTGAGGCACTTTGAACTGCATCTTTTGTCAGAAAAGTGCCATAAAAATAAAGTTTAATTTGATTTTGAATTTGCCCAGGATGTGTCAAGACTGCCGCCATTTTGGAGCGGTGCTTGTCAATGGTTTTTGCGGTCAGTTGTTTTGGAAGCCTGAGGTTTACCTGATAACTGCATTTGTTTACATTCAACTCCATGCTTGCCAGCAGTTGCTGGTACCGCTTCAAGATGGCGGCAGTCTTGACATATGCTCTGCTGTTGTCTTATATTGGTTCTGAGGCATCTAGCGATATGAGATCCATGGGCAAATCGCCTTCTTTCTAAAACCTGCAAGTTGAGGTGAAGCTGAAAAGCATCCAACATCTGCATGGATCACTGATCTCGAGGTCTCAAGATTTGACTTTTTAGGTCTGAAATCCCAGAATCTTCAATAAATTTGTACAGTAATGGGGCGCTCACACCAAGCGCAAGTAAAATCATCTACTCGCTTAATTCGGCAAATCTAGACCCTGTCAATTCCACTAGCGAGATCAAGTGATAGACAAGGTTTTTTACAATTTACCAGGTAATCCAACCTCCTTTCTCACAGGCGAGCTCCTTTTTATTCCGGTTTCGCTAATTGAAAGAAAAGGTATCATATAATTCGGGGCACCCACACACCAACACGATCAGTTTGTCCTCCATTTTAGATACCAGTGAACAACCGTCCGTTTTGATACGTCGTGATTAGTTATCATGACGCAAATATCCGCTCAAGTTGAGACATATTCAGCTTCCGCCCAATTCGCGTCATTCGCGCCGCCAGAGTAGTAGGAACATCTAATCACGTCTTTCCATTGACTCATTCGCGCAAATGATTTTACTTGCACTTGGTGTGTGAAGACAAGAATCAACCCTCATACTCACATATACTGTACATAAATATAGGTAGGTGCATTGCAGGTGTTTGTAGGTTCACCAAGAGTTTAAATGCTTCCAATATGGCGATTGTGTCCTCTGACTTTGAAATCGCCATTTTTGCACGATCCTTATTCAGCCCCTCGAGTCCATCTTGTCCTCAAATGTTACTCTTCCGAATAAAAAATGCAAATGCAGCTCAGTTATAGCTCCACCTCGGCTTTACCCTGCTAAGGTTGCACAAGTGCACACATGTTCCTTATAAATTCACCATAAATTGCATTAGTTCATTCGCTATAACCTAATCAAGAGGAGTGGTAGAGATGTTCAATCACTGGAAGACTCTTGACCTCATTTGAGCACCAACTGTTTATAAGCCAGGCTGCTCTACAGCGCAGTGTAGGCATCGGACGCTTCTGTACATTTACAGTACATTAGGTGAGGGTCGCTCTCAGAAGCACACAGTGGCACTTAAGTATTATGTGACAGTATCTGGAGCAGAACTAATCACTCCGCTAGGCTCTTTAGCAAACACATGTATCGGAAAACAAACAACAGGAGATAGATTCAGAGTGAGCTCATCCAGATCATACGCCTGATCTGTTAAGTCATCTTTGCACTTTTCTTTTTTCACCGTTTACTTTTAAAACTCAACCTCCGTCTTTTTCGTTTTACATTTTATTTTCCTCACTTTATTTTGGCTGAAATACAAAACTGGCTCTCGCTTTTAAGCCTGTATGCTCGCATGGAAATCACAACTGCTCTTGCAAAACAATACTACGCAAAGAAATAAAATATGACCGCTCGAAACCGTATCCATTAAAGATTAATTAAAAGAATTTGTTACTCACATCTTTTCTGTCACCTTTGATTTATCTGCTCCGCAGAGCCGTCATGCACCGTCCCTGCTGCAAAGAACACCCTGAGCACCAGTGTGTCTTTGAGAGGGAATGGAAAATGTAAGATGAAGAAGATATTTTTAACTTTCCTTCTGTTCTACAAGCACAGAAAAGCCCACTGTATGTAGTAAAAACTCGACTGAAGTCATCTATTATTGAGTATGCACTTGCAGGAGAGGATGTACAGTAGGAGTGTGGTTGTGCAGTGAGTGCGGTCATTCTGCAGTATGTGTGTGGTCAAATCTGTGGGGACTGAAGCAGTGGGATGATTTAAAAGGGTACACAGGATTGGAGGTGATTTATTTGTTGAGTATTGCAGATTTTTGTATGTTCCAAACATTATAAAACTGCAAGGAGACATGGGTGATTTGGGCCTGTTGGACTTTTGCATGCATAGTTGGGTGGCTGCTAACCTGCAAAGAGAACTGGAGGTTGGTGGTGCTAGATCTGCTAGTGTTAGCCACACACGTTTATGACCTACAAAGGTAAACAAGCTCCATGCTCTTCCTTATGCAAATATACAAACATGTAGGCACTTGTATATGGATAGCCAAGGCGGGGAGAGCAGCAGCAAAGACCCTCAGGATAAAAAAAGCAGAGTAGCTATTAGTGACAAAGGCATTATGGCTCCACTATGAGAGCTCTCTTCCCCTCAATGTGCATACCAGGAAGGACAAATTCTAAAGCCGAAAACATACAGGATCCGTATTGAGCGCGTTCCGTCAGCGTCGCATATCTGCTCCGTCAAGCAGCGCTGTCTATCGCATACAGGATGCGTATTTGGAGCGTAGCAGCAGCGTAGCATAGCCTCGATCAGCTGGGCTCAGTATAGAAGAAACAACATGCTCACAACAGGTTGTTTTTCCTGTCTGTGGTCTGTTTTCTGCTAATTTAGATCTAATTCAGTGACTTTTGAGCCTCTACTATATGTGAAAAAGCAATGTGATTTTACAGTTTCGGTTTTTGCAGGTTTACTTGTGTTTAATAAAGTAAACTATGTTCCTTTATGCTGCGCTGTTACCTTCAGACAGAGTTAGCAGTTAAAAGTCCTGTTGGGGTCCACATATTGACACACCTGATTCGAATGATCAGCTCGTTACTAAGCCATTACAGAGCTTGATAACGAGCTGATGATTTGAATCAGGTGTTGGAGCAGGGAAACATCCAAAACATGCAGGACAGTGGGCCTCAAGCACTGGACGTGAGAACCACTGGATTAATCTACAACCAAGAATTATTTCTTATCTACACAAACTGATAAACAACCGGAAGTCCACATATGGTGTTTTATTTTGAAATATCGGATGACAAGCACATTTTCATGCTCGACATCCTGTCTACAACGATGTTATCTGTGTAGATGGACGCGTATTGGAAGCGTAGAGCAGCAAAAATAGACTCGGAGCTGATATGCGTCCTGTATGAGATGCTGCATTGATTAGAATGGCAACCTATTTGCTGCGTGATACGCGTCGCTAACGGAATGCGCTCGGATCCTGTATGTTTTAGCCTTCAGGCAGGGAGAGCACGCACCTTCTCTTTTTTATGCATACAGATGAGGCCGCAGGGCGAGGAGTGCTGCTGCAAAAAAATAATGCTGCTTTCGAGTTACCTCGGAAGTCAGATGTCGGAGCTGAAAATGACGTTGCACCCTCGTTCCCAGCGTTTCATTTACCAAGTCGGAAAAAAGCTAAATCAAGGGGCCTGAAATAAGATGGCTACATATACGAAAGTTATTTTATTTGGACAAGGCAAGCGCTTAAATAACTTTCGTAGATGAAGCCATCTTGTTTCCGCCTCCGATTTTGCTTTGCTAACACTCCATTGTCCATGGAGGACGTCTAAATTCTCACGGGTACCTCAAAGTGCTTTTAACTTGAGTTAAAACTTGAGGAAGATCAGTTACTTGAGTGATTACGGGTTACATGTAAGCTCAAACGCCTTTGCATGAGGGGCATCAGAAACAAGAAAAGGTTCCTTCAGCACTCTCAAGGCTACAAATTGGCTACAACAAGACAGTTATCCATTTATGCTGCAAACGCCCATGCACCATTAAATAATGCACCGAGCGGTGTTGCTTCCTAACTGTGGTTTCATGCAGAATTCATGATACATGAAAGTGCTAACAAGGGGGGGGGGACACATGCTGTACGTCGAATTCTCTTAGCATTTACAGAACATGTGGCAAACTCCTGCGGGACAAAAAAAAGAAGAAAGAAAAAAATTCAATAAGAGCGCCGCTTTTTGCATCATTAATCAGCTGCTGTATTGTATTTGGATTTGAGCGCGCTTGCTGTTTTTGGAATGGGAGCTTAATTGGAAGATGATGCTTGTTCTGAAGGTTATTTGTTTCCCAGATGAGGGAAGGAAGTTGGGATCCGAACAAAGAAAGAAACAAAATGGATTTTGCTTCATTTGCATAATTGATCGAATTCGGTGTCTTGTAGAAGAGGGGAGAGCGGAAGCTTGGTGTGCATTGCTCTAGTCTTTCAGTGTTATCTGCGAGAGAGATGACTGGAATAAGGGAAGTTAAATGTGGGAATGATAACGTAACAGAATATAAGGGCTCAACCAGGAAATGAATCTCTGCAGAAGAGAATGAATGACTGATTAAAGTATTCAAACTCTGAGCTGGTATTTTTCATCGAATAAATACTGAGGGGTAAGAAATGTGCAATTCTTCTGAGCTGCGGCACGGAAAGTTGCAAATTCTGCTCAAAACTTCGAAAGAAAGAAGTTTATGAATGCATTTTTAAAACATGCTGTGAAGTGTCTTTCAGTATCAATTTATCTACTTCAAAGATGAATCATATTTATGCAGCAGGCTTTAAATCACAGGCAGGTTCAGATTCACCGATAAGAGGATGGATGTGCGGCAATACGACGCAGATAGATAAAGAGGTGAGAGATCGAGGGAGAGCGAGTGAAACGTGTGATGTGATTTTTATATACTGAATGAAACAGCCAACAGCGAGTCCGCCCTGCCAGCCCCCCTCCTGCAGTGATCACCGACCAAATCCCTTAGGAGGATTATCCAGACTCAAATCAAGAAAATCGTGCAACTTTAAGGGTTACAGGCAGAGAGTGAGACAGAGGGGAGTGGAGTGGGGGGTGGGAGCAGTGTGGCCTGATGTTATTTTTCCCTCTTCTCCAGCCTGTGATTTGTGTGTTCTGACATATGTGCTCTGTGCGGTGACATCCACCCACGCCAAAGACACGCAAATTTGTGAAAAATATCAAGTATCTGGTTGTTTTCATGTTTTTTTTTTTTTGTTGTTGTTGTATAATCCAGTTGTCCTGTTCAAGGAAAGCGTTACTGTACTATCAATACAACTTAGAATCAGCCTGTTCGTTTTCATGACAGTAAATCATCTTTACAACCCTCGTACACACACTGAGAATGGATCGCAAACGTCCTTTATTCCCCTTTAAACGCCAATAACAACACTGACCTCTGCACCGTTTAGTCGAAGCTAAAGGAAGGAAGAGAAAAGAGCAGTGGAGGAGAAACCGAGTGCAGTAAAGGACACGAATGACGACATTTCAGGGAAAAATACGACTGCAGTAAATTACGTTTAGCTCTGTTCATGCACATACGTGAGAAGTAAGGGAAGGGAGAGTAGCAGCAAGGACTCTCGGGCTCTCAACATGTACTTAGCTCAGCACAAACATTCAAGTCAGAGTTGAATTATGTTCGTATGCAGCTGTTCTTATAACCCAAGATGTGCAGCAGCAAAACAGGTGGACCTTGCAAATACCAGCGATTTTGAAGTCCATTTGGCTCTTCATTAAGATGCACAAGCCACGTTTATCCCTGTTGCAGATGGTCCAAAGCAAGTAAACACAGCAATATCATCTGATTGCTCCACTTTCTTTTCGTTCCCTTCTGTGGCCCTGAGAGTCTGCACCTGTGTGCGATGACTGTGACACAGAAATGACCAAAACACGACATGAAAATCCCAAAGTACAGACAGGGGCCGGGGTCAGCGCAATTACATACACAAGAATACACTCCAACTGGATTATGAGTGATGTATGAAATATTTTAAAATGGGTTGAGACCTTGTCCTTGTTACGATTAACAATATTCAATAAAATGAAGGGACACTAAACTTCGGGTATGAAAGTTGTTGCTGCTGACAGCATACCGAAGTTTTTAGGGTGAACTTAGAATGAGGTTTTTATATTTACATGGGAGTATGCTCCTTTTCATGAAGGTTGCATGAACATACGGCATTTTTGTATTTGTGGTAGACTAGCTAGAGAACCAAGAGCATTCGTGTTGTTGTTGTTGTTGTACTGCTAGTCATTTTTTTTTAAAGGAAAACCTTGATGATTTGAGGATTTTTACTATCATGCATCATCAAAGAGGCATCTTGTCCTCAAAGGCCACCATATTTGTGGACTCTTGGAATGGAATGGTTACCAGTTTAAGGTTAAATAAAAACATAATAATAATAATAATAATAAAAATAATATTAATAATAATAATGAACGAGTATTTTCGCTAATACCACTTTCAGAGAGTTGTTAAAACAAAAGTGATAAATAAATAGTAAAGCTTAAATGTTCTCGACGAGTAGTCATTCTAGAGGTCCTTACACACCGGGAACGACGCAGATATACAATGCGAAAATACGAAATATTCCGCGACTGACTATACACATCAAGCGCGATGCGATTTTGCGACTTTCCTAGGGGAAAAAAAGACGCGTCCCGGGTGGAAACGAGAAGACTGACACAACAGCAGACTGACATTTTTTCAGTTCTGATTAGACTCTAGTGTTGAGATGTCTGTCTGTCATGATAGCATGTACTGAGTCGGGGCCAGTACCAGATAAGCACATTAAACTATAATCCATAAATATAAGTTAACAACCGAGACATAATGGTGCTGTGACAGCAACGCGATTGAGTTTGAGGCAGTGAAAATACATATGTTATGTTACATCTGAACAGGTTAGCTTACGAGCTAAAGTTACTTAGCACAGATGAAAGTTCAAACAAAGACGTTTAGCAAACTGTTAAAGCACACAAACCATCGTCATATGAGAAATCCGACGCTGTAACTTTTCACAAGTTGTCCTTCAGGTCGTTATCTTTGTAATATTTGTGTCTTTTATCAAAAAGCACTCTGTTCTCCGACACGTAAACAATCAGCCGGTCGGCCATGTTGGATATACCAATAAATCTGACGTCGCAACAACACGCAAATCTGATTAGTCAGAAGTGTATCGCAGGATGGTAAAACATCGCTGATGTGAATGCTTGTATTGACAGAATAATGGTTCGAAAAAAAATACTGACGTCAGAAATAATCGCACGAAAAAAACGCTCCTGGTGTGAAAGGACCTTAAAGGTGCGAGGTGGAAAAATCTAGAAAGAAACAGCCTAAGTAGTCTGAGAATTAATGTCTATACTGGACAGCTCCCCGAAATCATGATTTACCCCCAATGCCGACACTCAGGGCTGCTGGACGAGGTAGAAGTCTCTGAATGTGACATGGTGAGAATTATGTCTGTGGAGGTGAGGGTGAAGGTTGTGAAGCACATAAAACTTTCACCAGGACGTCTCCGTTAAGTTGGATCACAACTCTATCAGTATCACTCCCCTTTTCAAACTCTAACTACAATTTTAAAGGGTCAAAAACTCAAAGTGCTCAACCTGCCTAGATGTGACTCGACTGCAACCAGCATATTTACCATCATGTCAGATCATACAGAAATGAAAGCTGCTGTGAGAAACTTATATTTTTGCTCGATTTGGCGCCCCCTGTGGACAAAGGTGCAAATCTTACCTATGTTCTTTAAACGCAAAGGTATTATGATGAATATAAGCATGTCTGCCATTGCTTTTATAGGTGCCAATATGACCCCTTTTTAATGCATTACTACTGGGTCTTTTCCCAATTGGCGTGTTCGTACCAAAACAATGTCTTTCTAATCAGTTCAGTGAATAGATGCTTAGTTTGACAGTGACGTGGCTGGATGAAGACTTCAACATGAAAAAGACATAACCGCATGCATATGCAGGCAGCAGTTAAAGGACTACTGATGAGACACAGCTGTTCTTAGTTACACACGTGTTTACAACTTAGACCAGGAAGTAGTTTCATGCAGAATACTATATCACCACTCAACAAACAGATTGATATCAGCTCAGAATGAATCAAATCTTCACACCTATCACTATTTCTAACATGAAAAATGACGATATAGAAAAAGTTAATCGAGTCACTAATGTTATTGTTGGCTTTCGTCGATCATAAAGAGCCATACATGTTAATTTTACTGTTTAAAGCTGGGTGAAAACCTCTCACAAGAGCTGTCGTGGTTTTTTGAAATGTTTTGAAAGAAAGCCTTGAAAAGAGGCCAAACATTCAAATCATATCAGGTTGGAAATGATCGATTTTGCATGCATTTAAAGTTAAGTTTTGACTTAGACTTATTTTTGTAGTCATAGAAATTCATGGCATCCTTCGAGGGTGATGTGGCTCATAGTAATGCGCTCTTTCCTTTCTCTAATAACGCTCATTTAGAAAGGTTTTCCTCAAACAGGTACGACACAAGTTTTAGACGATCCTTTTTCCATGTCAGAGGTTTTTATACGATGAAAAATTCAAGGGCTGAGTGCTGTAACTCACTCAGATCGAACATCATTCTGAATATTCTCGAGGACGTCATGACTTGTCAGATGGCTCTCGGTACAATGGATCTTTGCCCTCTGAAGGAGCAGCATGCGTTGGCATAAAGCGGAAGGCAATTTGGCACGCGGCATTGTAATCTGATATTCAGAACACAAACAAGCCCTGCTGGCTAGTTCCGCTGCCAAATGCCGACGCACTCCAGCCAAGATTTTTCCCACAGTACAAATGCTGATACAGGTCCTGGACTCTCCAGGTCTTCGTCTCCATAAAGCATCGAGTAGAAAGGATAAGAAAGATTGGGTTGGAGTTCCTAAAATAAAAACAGATGTGTCATGACCAACCTCTTCTTCGTCCGGAGTTCGAGTAAAACAACAAAGAGGATGGTCGCACATCTTTCTCACCTGCTGCAGCTGTTTTACATCCCGCCTTCCAATGAATGATTTACTACAGGCATTAAAAAGTGACAAATGATGCACAACTTCTCATTAAAGTTTACGAACCAAATTTGGCTTGTACACCATCTGCAAACAGAAGGCTCCGGAAATGTACTATGTCGGCTCATGGATTCACAACCGCCATCTGTGTTCAAGGAAGAGCGCTGCTAACGTGCCAATGATGCAAACACTCTCTCGGTGCTTGTTAGTGTTGCGCCATTATTAATTTTCACTCATTTACAGTCTGTCAACAACGTATTAGGCCAAATGTGAAAAAGTGCGTGCAGCTTCATGTTACGACTCCCTGACAGGGCGGTAAAGCATAAGGTGAGCTGCGAATGGCTCCCAGAGGAGCTAAACTCTTGGTAAACAAAGAGAGGGGAAGCACTCAGAGGGAAATTAAAGAAATCTATTCAAGGCGGTAAGCAAATAGACCGGAAAATATTCAAAATGCTTTATTTTAAAACTTTTCCAGATAGTTTCCTTTCCAAAAGATCCCATCGGCCACCAACAGCACAAAGTATTGCATCTATTTCATCATTCCTCCTTATTAATGTGCATGTTGTTGATTTATCATGATTATTTACTAATGCTACCGTGGAGGTCAGCGAGTGTGTGCAGCATTTACTTCATCAGTATTATCACTGCTTCAATGCTGATGTTAATTTTCACAGCAGCTTGACCTCAACTGCTTAATTGATGTTTTTGTTTCTAATCCTTGTACTGACTTCAGCTTCATGAATACAAATGCTAGTATTATAGAATTAAGATCAGTCTTTTGTCATTTATTTTAACTTCTCCTAAACAGTGCACATACTTTATTATTATTAGCACTGAAACCATAACTCTGTATGAGCTGTTGTTTATTTATCTTTATCTCTCCCTCTCTCTTTCTGCATCTCCCTCTACCCTCTTTCCAATACCAACACAGTGCTTGTTTAGATAGATGATAGGAAAATGTAAGTCTGGTCTTGTTCAAGGTTTCTACCTGTTAAAAATAAGCTTACATGGACATCTCATGATAAAGTATTGTAACAAAGCAAAATGCATCATGCCATATCGTGTCATGATTACAGTAACATGCTGTTGGACTCTATTGGTATTGGCGCCATCTTAAAGGAACAGGTTGTGTCGTGTTATTTCCATAGACTGTATATAGAATGGACGCCGTCTGCCTCCTCGCTGGCTGAAGCCACTCCGAGAACAGCACCCTCTGTTGACGGGCTGCAGTATAGGTCATAAATCCTACCTCCTCCAGCAATCCCTATGGAGCTGTGGACAAACTTTAGAAGTTTATCACTCAGAATATATTTTTTTTTCCCCCTTGGTTGCGATGTTGACATGTAGTTACTGTAAGACTGGTTTGTGCTCAAGTCCTCTTTTTTCTGTGAAGCTCCATTTTTAAAAGTTATTAGGGGGTTCATGTTTTCTATGATTGGCACTTGATACAGTCTATGGACGTACGAAGATTGCGTAGCTCACCGGGGGGATACGCTGTTTGAGTCGAGCGTCATCACGACTCTTAGCGAAATGGAGAGAAAACGCAGAATTACCAAGACCTTTTTGGCTTCAAATCTGTATACTGGCGGAAGGCGGAATCAAGTTGTCCATAGTATATACAGTCTATGGTTATTTCCATTAAACTCATAGACTCAGTTAAAAGTCCAATGTCCAAATATCATTACGAATTGAAGAGATCATCGTTTACGTCTTCAGTCTGACTCACTCTGGTGACTCAAACTACTTTCTTTTCTTCGCTCTCTCTCGTCATACTTGTAGATGCACTCCAGATGCTAACCCTTGACTGTATATGTGTAGGTTTAAAAGATTTACCATGAGCCTGTTTAGCAAGCTTAGCAGCACACGAGTCAAGGATCATGCAAGCATGTATTAACTTACACATGTGTCTATATATCGTATCATGTGGTGTGTATGTGTGAGCACATGAAATCACACTGAGCGGGGATCATGTGATCTGTGCCCTTCATTATCTCTGCAGCTTCGACTTACGGAGCTTTTTCTGTCTTAAGACTTCTCAGTGTTTCTTTACACTCGGGCCTGAGGACAGTTGGATTTAGCTTAGAGAGTGTAAAACTGTAGAAAAATGATGCATCAGTGCTTGCACATTTTTACGATGAAGAGTCAAGACTTTGTTGAACTTTTCAGTAAAATTTTTACACTATACAATAAGCGCTAAAAATGTTTTGCTCTGTTTTAACTCACAAACCTTCTAAGTGACAATTTTTGACCTATTTCTCATCACTCAAACAGGTCTTTTTCTGAAATGTTCACCTCTTCCTCTGTTCTCCTCTTTCATGGGGTTCCTCAGGGGTCTATGTTGGGTCCCCTCTTGTTCACTGTGAACATGCTTCCCTTTGAGGCAAATTAGAGACCTTCACTGCTACACATCACACAACACTGGACTCTATGTCCCATTAAATCCTGGCACCACTGATGTTTTTCACATTATGTCCTGACAGACTGGAATCAAAAATTGGATGCGTGATAATTTTCTACAGCTGAATGACTCCAAATCGAAACTTGTCGTCATTACCCCCCTGTGCCCTCAGTTCTAGCTACATTAATAATCTCTTCTCCAGCCTGGGTGTTGTCTAATAATGTTCATAAAAAGGCCTGCAACTAGGGGTTATTTTTGACCCGGAGCTTTCCTTTGACACCCAATTGATTGGAGTTATGCAGCTCTTTTTTTACCCAGTTGAAAAAGCAAACTAAAATCAGGGACATGCATTTATTTTTTTTCCAGATTGGCTGCTGTGATGTGCTTAATTTCAGTATCAAGCAGGCTTAGCATCCAAAGACACAGGTTTATTCTGAACTTTTTTACACAAAGCAGGAGAAGTGATCATACCATACTGGTCCTTATCTGCAAGTTTCAGAATAGATCTTAATTCTAGCATCGAAAAACGTACTTTGGTAAAACCCTCCAGGGGCAAAGTCTCACGGAGTGACCGAGGCTTTGCAACTTGGGCTCCTCAGCAAACTTAGGCTATATCTATCTGATAGCTAATGCTCTATCCACACAACCATGAGTAAATGATCGAAAAAGCTCATGTAAGTATGCATGGCCAGTAAATGGCAATAATGTGTAATCAGTCTGTCACGACAGTCACCAGAGTGGGAAATGTAAACTGTGAACAAAGTGGCAAATTAAAGACTGTTCACCGTGATGTGAGGATTTGCATGTGTACTGTGGTGTCATGATGAAGAACAGCAAAGTTTCCTATAAAACTAACAGAGCTGAAGAGTCAGAAACCAACCAATAGTCTGTCATCTTGGCGCTTGTGCATGTATTTTATTGTTTCCCAAAACTTTTGTTTTGTTGCGGTAAATGACAAAACTGAATTTCAAAAACCACAATCTTAGAAGTTGTCCTCCAAAACCCACTTTTTCAGTGACCCAAAATTAGCTTGTTCTGTTTTCACCTTTCAGGTTTCACACTATCCAGTACTTTCTTGGACTTTCTGATTATTTCATTCGCCACTTTTGTTGTTGTTGCTGTCACTTAGAATACCTTCAGCATGACTTGTATCCTATTGAGCCCAACTTAGGGATTTCTTTCAAAGGCACATCCAACAAGAAAAATCACAATCATGAGTCCACCTGATCACAAGAACAAAGAATGAAGCAATTACGCAACATGAGACCATCTGTTCACGCCACTTTTGGCACCAAGAGTCACATTTATAAGATTCATCTCCAGCTTCAGATAAACTTAAAATTTGTAAGTTGTATAAGTCATAAAGTTTTGGGGGAAAATGGGATTAGGAAACTGTGGAAGGTGTGACTTTAATACATGTCAAAGAACGTCTCGTATGCTGTCAAGACGATTTAAATCAGAAAAGGAGAGAGGGTTTGTCTCGACTTTTTCCTCAAAGAAAAACACACACAAGCTCTCGAGTGCCCTGAGAGAAGAGCACAAGAGAAAGAGGCACACACTCACCCAGGCAGTTTTGGCATCTTGGAGAAACCAAACATGCTACGTCCCAAAGCTCAGGTGCTTCACATCAGCATTCTGATCCACATCCAAATCCCTGTACACGTTCAAAAGCCAGACAATCCAGATTCAACCCCGGATCCATATTGAGAGTCCACAGAAGCCGTTCAATCACAGAAGTCGAGGGGGGAAATAAACTCAAAGGAGAGCAAGTATCACCCTTGTTGAATGTCCCATCCCGGGTGTCCGACACTCCAATCCCCTTCCTCTCAACAATGTTGCGTTCTTAAGTGATGACAGAGGCACTGAGGGTCAACTCCTCCCACCCACCTCCTCTCTCTGCTCTCTCTGGGACGAGTCAGCCCTTTCCTCTGCTCTCCACCTGCCTCATAAGCCCAACGTGTGCGCTCTTCATCTCAGCGCATGGAGAAGTGCAGCGATCCAAGCCGCGTCAAGCAAAGGGAGAAGAGAGAGAGGGGAGGAGGAAGGGAGGGAGAGGGGAATGGGAGAGATGGGATGAGATGGAAGAGAAGGAGAGGAGGGGTAAGGACAAAGCGAATGGATGACGGATGCTTTGCCGTGCGTTCATCAGCGCTGCGAGTCCCTTTGCAGGGCAGAGGGAGAAGATGCTGCAAGAGGAGGGGATCAAGAAGAGGGATGGAGGAGGGATAGAGAAGGAGAGTAAAAGTGCTTTGGTTGTAAAGAGAAAGCAACTGAGAGAGGCAGAGATGGGAGGGGTGATGGGCAGGGGAGAGCTGACTCTGCAGAATGGGGCGCTGATGGGTGCAGGACCCCCGTCCCTCATGTTTTTCTTTTTTTTCACATGTTTGATTTTACTAAGTGGGCTGGTATGTCTGCACATTAACCATAATGCAGGAATCATTAGTCTTATAGAGTGCAACTGCGCTCTCTGCAGTTTAACCCATTAGGAACACTTGGCTCCAGATCATTCAAGTCTGAAAATGCTTCCTCTGTAATGAGGAACAAATTCTGAGCAAAATTAGTCCTGTTTGTTTGTTCAGTTTTTGCAACAACAATCGCTGCAAACTTTATTTACTCGGTAAACATCCTTCAAATCATAATTGGCAGTCGAACCAAACTGATTTGAAACAACTTCATGCAGAAAAATGAAGCTGAAATTGAGATATTTGCATGATTGATGCATGCATTTGTCATTTTCTACAGGAAAATAGAGGCAGAACAAAATACAGGACGCTGAATATCATTAGTTTGTTTTGCTAATCATTCAGAATTCTTCCAAGGAAATGACTTGATAGATTCCTGTCCATTTTTTAGACCTTATTTGGAGTATTGAAACCAACTTCGTTCTGCCTTCCACCAGTATACAGATTTGTAGCCGAAAAGGTCTCGGTATTTCCACATTTTTTCTCCACTCCCTGACACCAACATGACGGAGTAGTGTTGTACGCACTCCACCACTCAAACAGTGTATCCACATAGGCCCATTGTACGCCCATAGGCTGTGTCAAGTGTCAATCATAGAAAACATGAACCCTCTAATAACTTTTAAAAACGGAGCTGTACAGAAAAAAGAGGACTTGAGCACAAACCAGTCTTACTACATGTCAACATCCCAACCAAGGGGGAAGAAATGTATATTCTGTGTAATTAACATCTAAAGTTTGTCCACAGCTCCATAGGGATTGCTGGAGGAGGTGGGATTTATGACCTATACTGCAGCCTGTCACCAGAGGGTGCTGTTCTCGGAGTGGCTTCATCTAGCGAGGAGGCAGACGGCGTCCATTCTATATACAGTCTATGGTTGAAACATGTTTAGACTCAATTTCTCGAAAGAAATTGACTATACATTAATATTTCTGCAAGATGCATGTATGCATTAGTCTTCTATAACACAGAGTATTTGATTGACATAAAAATCAGTATTTACTCCTTTCATAATCTTATTTGCACTGCTATCCAACCTAACCTTTGCACAAGAAAAACTAATAACAAAAACAGACAGACATAAATTTGCAACACGGACTGTAAAAAAAGATATTTGGATTGACTTTAAACAATAAAAACTTGCTTTAGAGTGATAATTTTCCAGCTTTTCACAGCAACAAAAACACCTGAGCCCTCTTCATAACTTGTGCACAGACACTCACACAAACCCCTCTCTTCACAGAGAGTGTCATCGAACCCTGATAATTCCCAGTCTTGCGCGCATGTTTGTGTATGCACGAGCGCAGATGGTTGAGCTTTAGCGTGAAGCTGCTCAGGCCACCGGGGGCCAAGGACGAAGTCCAAGTGAACGTCAGATAAGCCGATGATAAGCTTTAATTGAATGCAAAAGAGTGGAAAGTATGTTTAGCATGCCATGTAATCCCACTCAACTCATCTGGGCGTGTAATGAAAGGTAGCGCTCTTATAAAAGAAAGGAGGACATTTTCCTTACTTTCATAAATCGCATGTCATCACTCGATACAGGCCAGGAAGAGCTTCAAGTAAAATGAATTCTAATCAAAACAGCTCTTGAGTTATTTATCCACCTGACCTGCTGTCAACAAACAGCCCTAAGTGACAGTAATTGCCAGATTGTATCCTGGCTTTTTCTCACATTTATCGTCACCCAGCTGTCAGATCGGGACAGCAGAGAGGGAGACATAACGTCAGCCGACACCAGAAGTGAAAGATGGAAGCAGATATCCTCGAGACGAACGCCACGAGATTTAGGAACTCATAAAAGTTATCCTGATGCTCGGGGACGGACTAATAACTATTTATGAGTGTGAACATTTCTCCAGGGAGGGATGCAAGACTGCACACTTGATCACATTAAAAGTTTGAAGTTTGGATCAGACTTGAGTTTTGGGAAAATGTTTTCACGAGTATTTCTCAGACAAAACATAATGTTCCAATCACAACAGGTATTGGATTTCTTTTATGTGAATGCCTTCAACGGGCGTCTCCAGGATTTCTGGGTCCCATTGAAAGACACCCAACACCATGATTCAAGCCAACTCCTTTATTACAGCAACACTATTCCTCCCCTGGTCTCTTTATTCCATCACACGCTGATACAACCTATCAAACCTATCGACCTATCAAAATTGAGTCTTCAGCATCCTCACAAATAGCTACGCTCAGTCCTTCTTTCAGTCAAGTTAGCCATGCCTCTGATTTACCAATCTTGTTACCCTTATAGCTTCGAATTCAACATGATACAAGAAAATCCACTCCCGTAAAGTGGGTGCTATGTCGACCTAAATCCTCTCAAATTCAAAATATTCCTTTAAACTGGATGTGTTCCTCTAAAAACAAGAGTTACACTCACAAAAACATGAAATTCGTAAACTTACCCCAGTGGGAGTCCCCTGTATACTCTGTGCATAACAGGCTTATGTGTCAGTTCTCTCACAATGCCAGTGCAAAGCAATAATGAAAGCAGATTTACATCAGGCAGCTTTGATGCAAAGTCTCTTTGATGACCCCGGTCCTCCCTCAGGCCCACACAAAAGCACATGCATCCACTCCCATCAGATGCAATTGATGGCAGGATACAAAGGGCCTTATTGCTGGCTCGTAATTTCAGACCGGTTTGGTTATATCCAATCTCGGAATGAGAAAGAGACAAATGAATGAAGATTCTTTCATCTGTTGGCACATTCAATTTCCTGCCAGAATTTATTACAGATAAAGGCTATTTTGGGATATCTAGTGTTGTGCATTCCTCAGAGCTTTCTGAAAACAGTTTCAGTAATCAATCATACATTTTGAGTCTGGGATCAAATTAGTTTTTTTCTTGAGTTAGACTACTATTTTCCATGTGGTAGGTCTTGGGATGAGTCGATATGTTTGCCCCAGGGGGAGATGGAAAAACCTGTAACAGCTAACAGAAGCTCAGCTGTAACCAACACTTTCTGTCTGCAGGGGTGTGTCCAGATGTGGTAGCCAGGGGTGCCTCAGGCCCCACCGAATCCTGGCCACCCCATGGCTTTTTGCCTTATCAAAGGATGGATTTGTATGAATGACTGCTGGAAAAGTGATAAAACAGGATACTGGTATTCTTTGTACGAAAATGTAGCTTAAACCTGCTGATACAAGCAAACATCTGCAGACTGACATGGCCATGTAGATTCTCATTCATCCAGGTCATGGTTTTCTTGAAGACTCCAAAAACAGGCAACTGGACTGTGTAGAGTTGAGACTCTACACCAGTGGTTCTCAAGTCCAGTCCAGCATGTTTTGGATGTTTCCCTGCTCCAACACACCTGATTCAAATGATTAGCTCGTTATTAGGCCTTACAGAGCTTGATAACGAGCTGATCATTTGAATCAGGTGTGTTGGAGCAGGGAAACATTTAAAACATGCAGGACAGTGGGCCTCGAGGACTGGACTTGAGAACCACTGCTCCACACAGTCCAGTTGCCTGTTTTTGGAGTCTTTAAGAAAATCTGCAGACTGACCAACCATCCAAAATAGAAATGTTGAAAAAACAGCTGAAAACCTGATTTCAGCATCTTGATGGCAAGTGGCAACCTTTGGTACTCTCTGCTTTACCAATTTGCCTGTTTCTAGATTAGCATGAATTTGGTACAAGGCAGCTTTTCTAAACTGCTGAAATGTCCTCATTGAGACTCATAACTTGGACTTGGTTAATGTTTTCTACACGGTCTGTGATCTGCAACTTTATTTACCCTTAACACCCAGATTTAATTAATTCAGTTTTAATCCAAAACAAAGTTAGTCCAGGTATTTGTAAGAAAATACGAGACCAAAAAGAGGCTTAATGGGGTTGCTGTGGAAGGTTATAGCCTGAAGATGGCTTTGGCATCAGAAGCTGGAAGCGCTACAGAAGAGCTGATTGGATTGCCAAAAGAAAAGGTGACTAATGATTGGTTCCTTTATGGGTGAGTGAGAGGAGCAGTACCTTTGGGCTTAAGAAATTGGATAAAGTGATTGAGAAAGGAGTTACCTAATTTTAAATTGACAGGATGATAAAAAGAAGAAAGGATCTATGACAATGGACAGACGCCAAGAGACACTGAAGGAGATGTGAGGAAATAAACTTTCGCCAGGGCCCACAAATTCCAATTTTACCATTAAGACTTTCGACAAGGATGCAAGACAGGACAATGAGGGTGTAAACTACCCATTACATTCTTAATGAACCCCCTTAAGCTAAAAGAGAGGTGCTTTTCAGACTATGAAGATTAAAGTCCAGACTGCAGGAAAAATCTATTTCTACTAGAGAAATGAGCGATTCAGTTCTCTGAAATGTACACACTGAGGCAGAAATGGATAATGCAGGAAAATGAGGAAAAGATGGTTTGTTAAGTCTCCTTTCTAACTTTCAGAGTATGGTGTGTGAAGGACATGTAGGACCTTTTTGCTCCAAGCTTGTAATTTACTTCCTCACTCCGCTGAATCTACCCCCAGTGACTCGCAAGCAACTTCCTAGATGTCTTCGAAAATGCTATTAACAGTGTGCCATCTCAGACAGAGTCGAAAAGTGCCAACCTTGAAAGCTGTTCTTGTGTAACAGAAACAATCGGGCATAAGGAACAGAATGAGCTCTTCATTTGTTCTATGCACAGAAGGGAGAGGTTTCTTTTGGCTCAGCAGACCAGAAGAGAGGCAACAGATGAAACCACAAACTGTCACTTTAGGACTGAATATTTCATCTGTAACGCAACAGTTGAAAATTTCAGCCCTGTCCTTTTGGAGCTATAGGCTCCACTGTATGTCTTCCCATCTTAGCACTACCTTTACCAAAACTACTTTTTGTGAATGTGCAATTCTTTGCACTTACATTTTTGCATCGTTTTCCAGCCCTAAAGCTTGCTGCTTAACTTCCACATGGCCTTTATTTTGCACCACTCTGTGACTGACACCCATTAAGTCCATTTCAAAAACATAAGCATTTCGCCGGCTGATTGTTTACGTGTCAGAGATCAGAGTACTTTTTGATAAAAAACATAAATATTACAAAAATAACGACCTGAAGGACAACTTGTGGAGAGTCATAGCGTCAGATTTCTCATATGACGATGGTTTGTGTGCTTTAACAGTTTGCTACATGTCTTTGTTTTAACTTTCATCTGTGCTAAGTAACTTTAGCTCGTAAGCTAACCTGTTCAGATACAACATATGTATTTTCATATTTGCGTTATTCCTGGTGTGTAAGGACCTTTAAGCTCTTCGCAAGTATTCGCGAATCTAAATTCAGAATTCTGGTGCTATGACAATTCTAGTAAATACAGGTTTGGTGTACCCCAGGGTTCCATTCTTGTGCCACTGTAATTTTATTTCAATGAATATTAAAGTAAAAGTATCAAATACATTATGACAACAAAAAGTCTGGCAACTGCTTTAGTCTGGTCTTGCTGATAAAACCATCAGTCTGGCAGCAAAGTGAGGACTTTGAGCGTGACAGATGTGGCTCTAAGACCTCAAGTCCAAGACCCAAAATCCAGCATGAAATGAAAACTGTCTCCTCCCACCTGCGCGCCAAATCACCTTCAGATACTCAATCAGCACAACAAGCCCACCCTTGATTCAAAAGTCAAACACAATCTTTTCATACAAACTAAAATCTGCTGTAAAACAAACATTATTTATGTCAGTTTTGGTGCTGTAGCTTGCAACAGTACGGTAACGTGTTAATTACCTGACAGGACCTTTTCTTAATCTCTCAAAGCTGCTGTCTGATCTCTCAGCCGGCTGATTTAAAACAGAGATGCTTATTACAGTGAGGGACAGATAGGAACACCACGGCATCCAACTGCTGGTTCAGACCCCGCAGAGATAAGAGGACAGCAGGCAGTCTGCTCGCCTCTGTCCACCGATGAATAACAATATAGCCCAAGGTCACCGTCCAAGTGTGAGCAACTGTGCAAGAGTGGAAACCCTGTGAGAAAAGTGTGGGTGCTGCTTTATTGCACACTACATTCGCATTTGGGAGTGCTTCACCTTGTGCTCAACGGGGGTTAATCATCTGACTTTATCTAGATATCGCTTGTGGCTCATTTAAAGGGACATTTCAAACAAATATCTGCCGTAACTGCATCCTGTAATGAGATTTTCACCATGAACGATGAAATCACATAGTTGCAATGTTCCGTATCAAGGCATGTCTGTCATACTATTATACATCTGATTGATCGACTTCAACCTGAAGAATTTCTGACCTTGATGACTCTAACATAACCTGGGTGTGAGTGCTGGTATTCATGCATAAATCACTGTCACCTCTGCAGCAGCCAATTCCATCTCCCTACCTGTTCAGTATTCTGCAGACCCCTGACTATACAGACGCAATCCTATCTGCAGCCAAATATTGGTTTGGATGACTTATTTGTTTGGCAAATTACTTTTTAAATGGAAATACTGGATTTGGCTCACTGCTAATGCCTTGTTTCAGAGTGACGTCTTAAAACTGTCGCCTGGTGAAGGTCGGCGAGGATGGTTTGGCATACAAATCACAGACTCCAGAGAGGTCAGCGGCTTGTTTCGCAGATATGGTTAGATGGATGACAAAGGGCCTCCGCAAAGAGAAGCCAGAATATCTGTTAGTGACTAGCTGCAGTAAAGATCACAAAGCATGTTCCCTCCATGTTAACAGATGGGACATGGTCAAACTTAAAAATCAAAGCACATATAAAAAACAAAATTATTAACTATGGTTTCTGCTAATTTGATAAGATTTATTCAAGCTAATTTATTTCAAGTGTTTATTTTTCAGATAATTTTAGCTTTAATTGGCTACTTTATGCTAGTAGAACGGGGCATATTGCCATTACTGACAGCTCTGTGGAGAGGAATGGGGTCTCACTATTGTGCAAGAAGGTCATTTATGTGTTTTGCTGAGTTAGTTTGAGATATTATCTAGATTTATATTCATATATATTTACATGAATATATACATAATGGCCTAAAATGCCTGTCTAAACTGCAGCACAGCCTACAGCATCTAGCCGCGATAACTCCAGCTCTTAAGTCCCAGGTCTACTACCTGGATGTAAACAAGCACAGATGACAGATGACGTCTCAGAGTGTGGTGTAGTTTGGCAAGCTGTTGCTACATTTGAGTTACCTTGGAAGTCAGATGTCGGAGCTGGGAATGACGTCACACCCGAGTTACCAGCATTTTTCGGGAAAAAGCAAAATCGGGGGCTTAAACAAGATGGCTACATCTGCAAAAGTTATTCAAGCGCTTGCCCTGTCCTTGCTTATAATTGGACAAGGTAAACACTAAAATAACTAACTCAAACGCAGCGTAAGTCTAGTGAAATTGGACTATAACCAGTGGATTAGGGCCGGCATGAGCAGCACAGATACATGGACATGAACCTGCAAGGAGGACTGATAATTGGGGGTGCTAGCTCTGCAAACATTAGGCGAACTCCGATCCAATGGTAAGTTGTATTACAGCCCCTGTTAGGAGTGTTTAACTTACCATAAAACAGACTGGAATTGAATGGCCTACAATTCCAAAATGTGACTACTGCATTATGGGTAGACGTAGAATCAACCATGGCTGATTATAAGGGCACGGCAGATAAAATTGGCTCTGCTTTTTCTCACCAAATGACACGCCTACAACACCACCAGATTTGCTCGATGTCACTGTTAAGCTAATATTGATCAACAACTGTGCAAATATTCCCTTTTCTACACACTTAATGTTTCAAGCGCCCTTCAAATGCTTGAGTAGTAGAGACGCTGGGCATAGAAAAGCATACTTTATGAGTTTAAAATAAAAGATTCGAACCTTCAAACAATTCCAGTCTGCTTACAGTTGGAGTAATGATACGCATGACAAGGATAAGGTGTCAAGTCATGCAAAGAAATCTAGATCTAAACATAAGAATAAGCCTCCAGAGCGGTTAATGGGATCTTTTTTTTGCATTTAATGATGCATAGGATGTGTAGAAGTGTTTGTTTACTTCACCTTGTAGCTTAGAGTTATCATTATTCTTATTTTAACAGGTGGTTTCCTTCTATAAATAAGAAAATAAATCATGTCACAGACTGTTTTACTGGGTCACAGTTATATGTCAGGCATTCAATCATCTCTTCCTCCAATTCTGTATTTTTTCTTTATTACTAGAATGTGACTGTGATTGCTCTGTAATGTCCACCTTCTGCAGCCCAATCCATCACCATACAATGATTAAATATGCTGTCTAAGCTACACTACATTCAGCGATACGTGCAAAGCAAGAATTCATTACGCTGTCTCTTTGTTATTACACCAAAAGACTCATGCATGGTTTCCCAGCATGCAAGTGTGGGGCTGACTGTTCCTGGCCAGCTCCCTGTCATTACAGGGGATAAAGAGGACGCCGCCCTTTACACGCTCGCGCACATGCGCCGCTTTTATGTGTGTGAGATCATAGAATTTATTCCTGCACCCTGTTTAATCCAACATGCAATATCTCTCTTTGGTTTATGACGAGTGATCAGACGGGCCAGGTGAGAGAGAAGAAAGAGGGTGTGAGGAAGACGAGTGGTGGACTGTGATCAAAAGTAGCAAGGGGGGTGAATAGAGGGAGATAATGAGGGGAGCAGAGGGAGAGGCAGAAAGGTCAGGAAGGATGGATGGATGGATGGATGGGGGATATTTTCAATGTGAGGGGTTGTAAAACTTAAGTGTGACACGGGAGTCAATGAGGAGGGAAGGAGACTGAAAGACAGAATAAATAAAGAGACGGAAAAAAAGAGCAAAAAAGGAGAGCAGATACGACTGGGCTGGTTACGAAATCGTAAAACATGATGTTATTCATGAACAAGTGGCTTTATTCGGGGGTCTGGTAACAGGTTAAAGGAGAGGGCGGACAAATGAAGCAGGTGCTTTATGGAAAAAACAATGAAAGAGGGTTTCATGAGCACTGCCTCGAGCTCAGTTCCTGGAATAAGTTTCTATTCTTGTGAATTTATGGAGGGTTTCATGAGATTGTCAATAAGAAGATTGGCTTTACTTGCCCTCTGGTCTGCAAACACAGACTGCACTCGCTCTTGCAAACATGTCTGGTCTCAATCCCTTTCTTCGGGACTCTTGATGGTGAATCACCTGGACTTTAAAACTCAAAGTGCTCAAATGTTGTATGGAAATGTAAGCCTGTGAGCCTGATTTGCATACCCTGAATGATCTAGGGGGCACGGTCTCATTTGGACTATTTGTCCAAATAATCCTCAAGGTGTGTGGTGGAGCTACATTATTTTATTGTTCCTGTCCCAGTCAGAGTCTCCTTGATCTGGGATTATATTTATCAGACATGTTTAATATTTAGGATTCCAGGTCACACTGCCTCTGACGGAAGACCTGCAACAACCGATGATCATCATTTTATACGCACCGAAAGAGAAGCTATTGTGCTCCATCATGTCAACTTTCGATTATGGATGGTCATCTTTTATAGATAAATGAAGGAAAACACATAAATGGTGAGAATATCTGCAGAGAGCCAACCCCCTGTAGTAACTCTCCTGTCATCTCTCAACTATCTTAAAGGGATATTCCGTCGTAAAATTAATTCAGGGTCAAACACACCGTAACACCGAGTTAGACACCCCCTTGAGAGATGAATGTTGCCGACCGCTTGCCTCTCTAGTTATATCGACTTAATACACAGCGGTCTGAGGAGCCATAAACAAACCTCAACCAAAATGCCACTCTATAGCCACAAATAATGCTCAGAACAGCACCTAACTTCATCAACAGTAGGGTCCTCGCCACAGCACTAGCCACCAAACATCTTTTTAACTTTAAGTTGTTTAGCAAAGAGACTAAACACAACTCACCTACTCTCTTCCAGCAGCCGCTTGTTTATAGTGAGACCTCGGACCAGTCCAATACGGACTGCTGCGGGGTGACGCAGCTCAAGGAAGAACATTTATGATCATTACTTTATCATTTCGTTAAAGTAATAATCACCATATTAATCATTTTGCACTGCAGATACGGTACGGTTACTGAAGTTGGTATAACTCGAGAAAGAAGCGGTGGGCAACATTCATCTCTCGACGGGGTGTCTAACTCTGTGTTATGGTGCGTTTGACCCTGAATCAATTTTACGCCAGAATTTCCCTTTAAGTATTAGATAACTGCAGATCTGATCCACTAGACCAAATGTGAATCAAGAAGCACCTCAAATCTTGCTTCAACATAAAAATGATCAAATGTATGAAAAATTGGGCAGAACAGGTGTGCTGTAAGGAAACCCGCTGCCAATTTGCAAAATGAAAGTGTGTTAGACATCAGGTTTCGTGGATTTTTCAGTCTTTTACAGGTGTGCTTTGATGCCATAAATCTTTGAAATCATCATGAGCATCCCGGTTGTACAGCAAATTTCAAAAATATTCTCAAATCTCAAAGCCTGTTTGGCATTCCTCAGAATAATATCCTGTAAACTTTTCACCCTGCCCAAGAGATCCCACTTTTATATGAAAACTTTGTCAAATATTCTCCCAAAGCGGCTTAGTTTTATCTATCTGGCGTACCTGCATCTTCCTGGCAGCGAGCGCACTTTCTGTGATGCATGAAACCCTGTGAGCACTGCATGCAGATTTCAAAGAAATAAAGCTTTTTGGTTGAGGTGTTCTTCCTCTCTTTTTCTCCTTCCTTTACCTTGTGTTGACTTCTGCCAGCTGACTTAACACCCCTCTTCAATAACAGCGCCTTTCGGAGACGCTTAGGAGATAAAACAAGCGAAGAGCGATGGGAGCCCTTTATCACCCTGAAGCAAGCCCTGAACCCCTGAGCTTTTTCCAGGGGTCACACCCATGCTGGATTTTTTAAACATGCATGCATCCTCTGGAGAGATGTTTGCATGCTAGTGCGCATATTCTCCTCATGTTCGGTGCATCAAAATGCAAAGATCTAAATGTAGAATGAGCACATTGATCAAACGCTATTAGCTATTCTTCAAGCCCAGCGTGACATTTAATTACACATGCTCACTGAGCCTGAATGCTGACAAGAGATGTGTGTTTTTTTTACTCTACGTCTCTGGAGGCGAGCTGCAAAGCCAGGAGTTTGACTGCCAAGCACACACACACACACACACAAACAAGCAAAGGCATTTAGCTTTTCATTGGGGGAGTCATTATAATGGACCGCACAGTAATACACCATCCCATGACACTTTTCAGAAAACCAAAAAAAAAAAAGCATAATCGGACTATTTCAACAGCCTCCGCCGCTCATTTTTGACTGGACGTGCTTTATACCCTCAGTGAGTACCAGTGTGATTACCAGGCTAAGAACCAATAATGTGTGATGACAAAAAGGGGCCGATGGGTTTGGGCAACATTCCCAGTGTCGCTTGAAGGGAGTGGGCAGCGCTTCCAGTGATGACAGATAAAAAATAAGTGAGCGTCAGAGTAATGGCGGAGGTGTTCTGGGCAGTGGAAGTCATAAATACGTTTTTCCTGGAACTGGAGCTGAGTGGCGGCGATGTCGTGGAGTTTTTTTTTTTTGTGCTGCACTTTTAAAGCAGTTTTACAAACTTAAGTGTGTTTGGACGCTGTGACGGAACAAATGATGGATAGTTGCCATAAGGGTTACATCAGGAAATGGCAAACTGTAAAAGACAGCACTTAAAGGAAGAGATGGTTATGAGAAGCTGTAAATATTCATGAAAGCACAACAGTGTGAAGCCAAAGGATACAAGTAATTCATGCTGTTACACACGCATAAAGATAAATCAAATCAAAGTATACTGTTCGAACCTTGGGATGTCCCTATGATCTCAAAAGTCAGCTCAGAACTGATCAGAAATCAGCATTATGAGCAAGATATATAGTGTCCCACTGCCAGGGGACACTATATGGTGGGTCAGTGAGAACTTCCAGATCGGACAAAAACAGAAGAGGCAGCATTTTAGAGAACTTTGACGTATGGCAGGTCACTTTTTTTTGTTGCGACATGACCTCTGAGGTGATTATGACGGATTAACAACAGCATCAGTTTCAGATGGTTAGTTTACAGCAGCACAGGAAACACAGGCAACACATTTTCACGCCTGAGTAGGAATGCAAAAGCCTGTCCGGGAATGAAGGGGACCCATGTGTACAAATAATAATAGTAATAATAATAATAATAATAAAAGACTATTAAAAAAAAGAATGGTCTAAGGACAGACCCCTGGGGTACTCCACAGGTCCGCTTCCTGCTGCAAATAGCCACGCCAAAAGGTCTGAAAACCAGTTTAAAACTGAACCACATATGCAAACCCGTTGTTTGATTCTGACCATCAAAATAAAATGATGGACAGAATCAAAAGTGGGACTCAAGTCTAAACGAACCAAAGCACGAGGTTTTCATCAAACGTGAAAATACATGTGTTCCTTCTCAAGTTACTTTACGCTAATTGATTCTTCAGCCTGTTGTTTTCTGTTTATGTTTGTATGTGTGAGAGTGAGCTAAGTTTGGCCACCTCTAGGCAGAGTTGTCGCAATATACCGATACTGATAATAACACTCGCAGAAGAAGTAGCCAACAGCTCGCGAGGCAGCTAAACAAGCCCTTTAAGATTACGCACTTTTAAAGCTAGTGTTTAAGATAAATTATGAACTCAAGAACCATTTCAGAGCTTGTGCCACTTCTGATTACCAATCAACTAAACAGTTAGATTCCCTTGACTGTTCTTTCAATAGTTTTTATTCAGTTCTGTAATTTATGATTCATCGGTCATTGCGTTTATTAGTTACCTTTATTTGAGGGGTGCTGGGCTGAGAAGTTTGGGAACCTATCAACAGGTTTTAACAAAAACTATATGTATCTATTTGGAAAAAAAAGGAGATATGAATAATGTCATTTTTCTAATTTATGTCTAATCCAAGTCCTTCTCAGTTAAGGAGCTTTGATGAAATACATAAAATTAATAATTAAGAATAGAGCCACACTTGAGCTCTTGAAAGCAGCACATTATTGAGTGATGGACAATAAGACCTTTTTAGCCACCAAGGTTAGAAAAGATTAACCTTCAGGAGGGAAATGAGGAATCAGA